CTTCAAAGAATCTATAACCAGTTGGAATTGTGTGCAAAGCAAGCAATGATTCGTTTTAACACTCCAGACTTCGTATTCCATTGATTTAAATCTGATCCTCAGTGCTTCCTGGGTCCTGCCGTTCATCACGTATCCCTTGCCATGTTTGTCCTGCCCAAGTACATCACCTCACAATTATCCGGTTTGAATTCCATTTGTCACTGATCAGCCCATCTACCCAGCCTATCTGAATCCTCCTGTAATTTAAGGCTATCCTCCTCACTATTTACCACCCCACCTATTTTGTATCATGCACGAACTTACTGATCAAGCATCTTACATTCAAGTCTAAATCACTTACATATGCCACAAACAACAAGGTCCAAACACTGATCCCTGTGGAACACTACTGGACACAGAATTCCAGTCATAAAAAAAACACTCTTCAACCACTTTTCTTTGCTTCCTGCCACTTGGCCAATTCTGGATCCAATTTGCTAATTTTCCTTGGATCCCATGGCAGCGTAACTTCGCTCCCATGCCGGACCTTATCGAAAGCCTTGCAGAAGTCCAAGTAGTGCATGTGAAAAGTATTGCCCTCATCTCCACACCTCGTTAGCTCTTTGAAAAATTCAATCAAGTTGGTCAGACATGATCTGCCCATAATAAAACCATGCTGACTATTCTTGAATAATCTCTGCCTCTCCAAGTGCAAATTAATGCTGTGGCTCGAAATTGTTTCCAGTAGTTTCCCCACCAGTAAGGTTAGACTGATTTGCCTGTAGTTTCCTGGGTTGATTCTTTGTTGAATAACAATACCACATTGGCTGTCCTCCAGTCCTCTGCCACCTATCCTGTGGCCAGGAAGGAATTGGAAATTAGTGCTAACGCCCCAGCTACTTCCTCCCATGCATCACTAAACAGCTTGGGATACATTTCATCCGTGGAGATTTATCTACTTTTAAGCTTGCTAGGACACTCAGAGCCTCTTCTATATCAATGCTAACTTCTTTAAATATATCACAGTCCTTGTCTCTGATTTCTATATCCACATCAGCATTCTCACAAGAGAACACTGACACAAAGCTTCAGTTTAGAACCCTATCTTTGTCATCTGACTCCATTCACAAATTACCACTGTGGTCCTTTATAGACCCTACTCTTTCCCGAGTTATCCTTTAATTCTTAATGCAATTGTAAAATAACTTGAGATTTTCCTTTATTTTCCCTGCCATTATTCTTTCATGTCCCCCTTTTGGCTTTCCTGATTTCCTAGTTAAGCTTCTGTTGCACATTCTTTACTTCTCTAGGGATTCTGCTGTTTTGAGCCCTCAGTATCTGCCTCCCTTTTCTTCTCTATCCAAATATGTATATCCTTTGATATCCAGGGTTCACAGGATTTGTTAGTCCTTTCCTTTGTCTTTATTGGAACAGCCTTGCCCAGTACTCTCCCTATTTGCTTCTTGGATGCATCCCACAGCTCTGACATAAATTTACCCAAAAGTATCCGGTCCCAGTCCACCCTTGCTAACGTGACTATAGTAATTCCTTTTATGAATGAGATTTTTTTTCCATATGGTAAAGTCTGCAATACACAGTTAAGAACTTTATTTATTTATTTAATGTCATCTCTTTCTGGGTCCTGAAGTCTGTCTATGGCAGCCATAATTGATTGGCAATGGATGGGGAGTGTGTAGGGTGGGGAGGGATGTGAGGTGTGACAGTTTGACACTGTTCAATGTGCTTTTTTTAAACTTCAATACAGTGCCAGGTTTCGGAGAAAGGATCTCTGTCAACCCACTCCACACCTAATATCCTGCACTCTCTCCATCCAGAGTCAGCTTCTAACATAGCCCACAAACAAATCCAATAACTGGGCAACTATTTTCTAAGTTGTGCTTGCCATTACTCTGTGCACCTGGTTCATAGACAAAAGATCAGGCGTTAACTTCCATTTCTCACCCACAATTAGGGGACCTGTAATTAATGTAACAACCCTTTTCTTATATTTTGTCTGTAACCATATTTAAGTCCTTTTTTAACTAAATCATACTCTCTACAGTATATGCATAAGAAAACAAAACACTGCAGATGCTGGATATCAGAAACAAAAACAGAAATTGCTGGAAAAATTCAGCAGGTCTGGCAGTATCTGTAGACTGAAAGCAGAGTTAACATTTCAGGTCCAGTGACCCTTCCTCAGAACTGTTAAATCAGATCTAATTTCAGGACATCAGTTCTGAAAAAGGACCTGAAATTTTAACTCTGCCTTCTCTCTACAGATGCTGCCTGACCTGTTGTGTTTTTCCAGCAATTTCTGTCATTATCTCTACAGCACATTTTGCTTCCTTCCCCAGTCAAACAGTTCTCTTTTTTTCTTATATTGAGTCTCTGCTAAAAACATAATAGAATCCAAAATATTAATTTTCCATTTCTGTTCATTTTCAGTCAAATTTTATTTTTGTAATTCAATTTATGATTATGATTGGTGAAGGCACTTTTGGAGTACTATGTACGGTTCTGGTCACCCTGCTATAGGAAGGATATTATTAAATTGTAGAGGGTTCAAAAAAGATTTACCAGGATGTTGCTGAGACTGGAGGGTTTGAATTATAAGGATAGATTGGAATTTTCTTCACTAGAGAATAGAAGGTTGAGGGCTGACCTTATATATAAAATCATAAGGAACATAGAAAAGGTGAATAGCAAAGGTCTTTCCTCTTGAATGGGTGATTTCAAAACTAAGGAATATATTTTTATGGTGAGAGGAGAAAGATTTAAAAGGGATCTGAGGGGCAACTTTTTCACACAGAGGGTGGTTTGTATGTAGAATGAACTGCCAGAGGAAGTGGTAGATGCAGGTACAGTTAGAACATTTAAAAGATATTTGGGACAGGTACATTAATCAGAAAGGTTTGGAAGGAAATGGGCCAAATGCAGACAAGTGGGACTAGTTTGGTTTGGGAAACTTGGTCAGCATGGACAAGTTAGACCGAAGGATCTGTTTCCATGCAAGTTAACTCTATGACTCTATGTACTTGCCCACCCAATGAGACGTTTTTGCTGCAGAGCTTACTGGATTTCCATGGCATTGATAAGCTGTCACATTAATTCAAACAGATGCTGGATCCTTCATCATGCAAAGGAATTAATGGCTATTTCAGGCATGAGTAATACATACCAGTATATTTGGCTTTTGCTAATCCAGCTGGCCATGCACTTCTAGCTCAAATAAATGTGTACTTCTTGCCTGCCATGCTGGAAAATCAGGAGGCCACCAAAGACCTGAAAAATGGGTGCTGCACCACTGCGTTTCTAGGCAGTATTGATACAACACGATCAATCAAAATCACATAATGTTAGTCTCACTGTAAAGTGGGATTGCCTGAGATATAGAGGAGTTTACACCATCAAAACAAATCCTGCGCCTTAGCTTCTTGTACTCAGATTTCTCAACAATAACTTTATACCAATTATCATAAATATGATGCAATTATTAGACAATTTTAAATTAGATACTGCTCTTCCTTCCTGATATGTTGCACATTTAGAAAACTTGAGGGTTGCAATTTGCCATCAAAAGTGCAATGATGGGGGGAGGGGCCATGGAGGGGAGATGGGCAGAGAAAGGGACTCACATCTTTTAGCATTACTGTGGTCTGAGATTAACATTGTCTAAATCCTAGAGGTTCAGCTGTTTATAAAGTTACTGTGGGAGACCTGGAGCTTCCAGCTGCTGAAATGAGGTGAATGAAATCAGTTTAGCCTCTCTAACAGAGGGATTCCAAAGAGCCAAAGAAAAATTACTCCACAATTTTTGTTCTTTCCCTGGGGAACAAAGAGATGGATTGAGAAGAGAATTGTCTGAAAATGATCCTGTCTCAGTGGCAGAAAAGGGTGTAATGAGCCTTTTAGAAAAGTACATACTGCAACACACCCGAGAATTAGAAGATTGGCTTACCAATACTGGAAGCATTATTTTTTTCAGTGTAAAGATCAGTCACACGAATAGTCATGTCCACTTGATCATATTCCTCATAGTCAATAACTGAGGATTCATTCACATAGAGTGATCCATTGTCATAAAGTCCAAACCAGTAATGGCATGGTGCATCTGGTCGAGCATCAATAATTTTAGACTTATAACAAACTGTTGAAACCAGTTGATAGATTAATGAATGATTTGTGTCAATGTCAGTTGCAGTTATATTCCGTACTATTCCAAGTTCGGTGTTATTTTCCATTACATCTAAATCCTTCATTGAATCTGGATCTAGTACAGGAGTTTCATCATTCATGTCTAATACAGTGACATGAACAGTTGCATGTGCTATTTTAGATGGAGTTCCTAAATCTGAAGCACTGACACTTAGATTGTAAAATTTTGGTCCTTTGTCATAATCCAGCGCTATTGTAGGATCAACAGTAAGATTTCCTCCATACTGTTTTGGAATGGTATTATTGATTAAGATTGATCTGATTAGAAAGATTCCTGAGCCACCATTTTCAATACGGTATGTTATCCGATTGTTGACTTCTGTTGCATCATTGTCGTTGGCTTTAACCAATGTCACAAAAGCTCCTGTATGCATGGTAAGAACAAATAAGAAAGATGAACATATTGTTCTAAGAGATACTAACAATTAATCAAGGAAAAATGAATATGTCTCATTGTTTTGAACAGCATTTTTCCAAAGGTATCATTGAAAACTATTTTATTTTGCAGTCATAAAATTATAAATAAAATGATAAAACAAGATTATGATAATTTATTCAGAAAATGTACAGTTAATAAATCTTTAGGGATATGCAGATGGCATGATGCATTATGCTATTAAAAGTTCCTTATTTGTATTAACAAATGAATGAAGGCTGTGTTCATCTCAACTTCCATGTACCAAGTGCTGAGTAAAGACCAAATAAATCATAAAATTACAAAACAAAATACAAACATTATGTTTGTTTATGCACTAAAAGTAACACCAAAACATCAAATGACTAATTTTATATGTGCTTGCCTGACAGAAACTAAGCAACTGGGTAGCTAAAATGAGTTACTCTTACACATCTTACTTCAGGTTGCCTCAGGTTTAGTATTTAGCTGCTCTTCTGAGCAAACAAGAGCAGACCCAAGAGCTGGAGCAGCTAGAGTCTGTCTCTAAAAATGCAGGTACGGTTTTGATCATCAGAATATACTTCTTACTTTAACTTGAAGGCTCCTAGGGAAAGCTGTCAGCCTATACGCCAATTGGTAAATTAGCTACTTCTCCCAACAGTTTTTTTTCTAACATTAGTATTATTCCTCAGCATGCTCCTAGGAGCACTGTCAACCAATTTTCCCTCTCTTCTATGAACTGTTATTGCTTGTTGAAGGAACATCAACAATTGTTTGAAATTCTGTCTTTTGTGATTAGAACAGCAACCATCGAAAACTAATAGTTTTCTTTTAATGTTCTAAAGCAATTTACTTGCAACACATTGCCACTTCTAGCAAAGCCACTAATTTAATTTGTTATCAAGCCTTTGGGATTGGGTACAAGTGCGACAGTGGAAAACCAGTGCTCTAAATACACAATTTACTCCATAACAAAGATCATTATAATATTGTTGATATTTCATGTCATAACTTACCTAATGTGTGTTCCATTACAGAAGCATAATAGACAGACTGAGAAAATACTGGTGAATAGTCATTTACATCCTGTAAGGTTTAAAAGAAAATAATATTTAAAAATGCAAAAATTTTCTTCATAACATAAAGAGGTGCTCTTATCCAAACTAAAGTACACCAAACAACTTGTGCTACTTTGAAGAATTTTCATTAATATATGTCCAGGCTGTCTTACATTCTGATCAAACCATATTCCCCTGCCCATCCCCCTTACCCATGCACCCCCAATCCATTTAACCTAATTAAATTTAAACTGGTTACAATAAAGACAAAGAAATTGGTGGAAAGTCAATTTCAGTGAATGGAGAAAGGTTCCAGCATGGCTGGACTGGAGACAAAGACTGGTGAGAAAATGTAAAAAAGAATTGTAGGCATTCAAGATGAAGATAAAACAAAGAACAGTGGGTGCTGTAGGTTTGAAGCAAAACAGAAATTGCTGGAAAAACTCAACAGGCCTGGTAGCATCTGTGGAGAGAAAGCAGAAGTAACATTTTGAGTGCAGTGACCATTCATCAGAACTTCTTCAACCAATGGAAAGAGTTAATTCAAACCATTTTGAATAAGAAATAGGCAACCTTCAGAGTTAGGAATAGCATTTTAAAATTAGAGACCTTTGCGGCACCATTTTAACATGGCTTCTATAGTGTAATTATTTTGAGACAAAGTTCAATTCAAAATCACTTCAGAGAGAAGTGAAGAAAGACATCACATTTGTCGGCATTATTCAAGGAATCCTGAGCCTTGAAAGACAAGGAACTTCAATATTGTCTTCACTGTTTGTTTATTCAATATAAAACATTGGTTAATAAATTCTACTTGATTCATTAATACTGCTCGTTCATATCTTGTTAAGTCAAGCACAACTGAGGACTACACTGTTTTAAATTAAGAATGTGGAACTTATAAAAGGCTTTATAACTCAAACCATGTGATCTTACAGCAGGCAGGTGTGCTTGTTGCTTGCAAACTCACAAACACAGTCATAAGACTACGTGTTCACTAAGAATCTACTGTAATGTATAAACATAATGTGGGGTTTTCGGTTCGTTCAAAAGTTATTAAGAATATCTAGATATTTTATAATCAAGCTGTTCATAATAGTTATTACACAGCTCTTCAGCAGGTGGAATTTGGACCTGGGTATCCTAGCTCAGAGGTAGGGACATTATCACTACGCAATATGAGAAGAATACCTGTTCTGCAATTTAATGTGTTGATTGCCAACTTAGCACTGTTCAGTCAATGTTAATTTTTGTGTGTTTGGTATAGTAAGTGTCTTAAAATACGGAATCCTGTCATTCAATCCTTTGTGAAGCTCTCTGGATAATTCATATGTCTTCAGAAATGTTACTAATTTCTGCCAGAATTGTTAAATGTGCTGACTGAGTGTTGACAGTGTCTCGTGAATCTACTTACCTCTGAAAGTTCTAGCTCTAGTTTTTGCACTTTTTTTGCTAGTTATATATTTCCCCAAGGAAAATAATTTATCTCTAACTCCCTTATCATTCCCTTTAATGCCTTGAAAACTTCAATCAATCATCCCTTAATCTTTTACATCCAGGAAATACAGTTTATGTGATCAACAACAACCACTGCAGTCGCTCGGAATCAAAGATACATCTGTCAGGCTTAATGAGTTCTCAGATGACTGAGAAGTCCAATTTTTGATGTATAAGCTTTTCCAGGGGCATGTTGCTGTGTGAGGAAATAGAACTGGGCTGGCTTCCTTCTCCTTCCTCTGCTGCCACTATTCAAACCGCACAGTTGAGTCACTGAACCTCAAGGTGGCTTGAACCTTAGTGGATCTGGAGATGCAATGCTAAGCAGTCAACAGCTTTCTCCTCCCACTCGGTGACGTCAATGCTTTCGTGATTTAGGGTAACCTTGAGCGTATCCTTGGCCTTTTCCTTTGGCTGTCCCATGAGCCTGAGCATTGGCCAACAGAAAGCTCAGAGGAGAGAACCAGCCAAGTGAGATGATTTTCAGGCATCCAGATGCAATGGTCTGTCCATTGGCATTGGTGCTTTAGGAGCAAGACTCTGATAACGGTAGACGCAATTTGTGTAATGCCCTCTTGTAATTCAAATGTGATGTCATCATTTTGGCCAATCTATGCTTCAATCCCCCATGGGCAGCCTACCTTTCTTAAAATATCGTGCCCAGAAATACCTGATCTTACCAGGGCCTTATATAGCTGGTAAAAATTACCCCACTTATTCTGCACCTCTAGATATAAAGGCCAGCATTCTATTCCATATTGTTGATTTGATTTATCTGCATATGACATTTTAATTTTTCATAAACCTGGATTCTCCCAAGTCTTTTTGGACTTTCAAGCTTTTCATCATTTAGAAAATATCCTATTCTACTGATTTTTATGTTTAAAGTGGATGATCTCACATTGGTCTTCATTGAAATCAATTTTTCACAGTTTTGGCTATTTATATAATGTATCAATGTCTCTTTAGAAAGTTACAAAAATGCTTTTCAATCTATAATGCCACTAATCTTTGTGCATTGACAAATTTGGATATGTGACTCTCTATATCATCATTAATAAATATGGTGAATTGTTGAAGGTCCGAAAGACATCCTTTACAGTACGCAACTTGTTGCAGTATCCCTACTCTCTATGCCCTGCACAATCTAAGGGAACTGATTGTGAACTGGGAAAACTTCGGAAAATTATTACTACCACATGTACAAAGTTCTCACTTCCTATAAAACTCTGAAACGGAAACCCGCCAACTGGTCTTGAAGATTTGTCGCTCTTTAATGTCATTATTTTTTGAAGGCTGAAACTTATAAAGGTCTGAGTGACATAGGCTATGGTGGGAAATGTGGCAGAATGCCATGAGAAGTCTGACCAGATCTATCTCAACATCAAAAGCAATGCATTGCATCTTTAATGCAACTTTCAGGATCAAGGCAAGCTTCTCACTAGGCAGCAGCAAGTTGCCTCTCAAGATGGACTATTATTCATTGATGACCTTATTACCTACGCACCTTGCCTTATCAATATGCATCTTCCTACCTTACTAAACCTACTAAATAAACTGGACACCAAGAATTCTCAACATGGATGTCAGCGCAGATGTCAGTGAGGATAGCTTCAGTTTACTACTTGCTCCAAAGGACTTCCATGTTGGACATCAGGCACGAACATCTCAGTGCATGCTGCGTGGATACTGGCCACATGCATCTCAGGACCATGGACACTGGCATTCAGCATGTGCCAGCCTCTCAGAACCCTCATGGCACATTTCCAATCCCTTACAGTTCACTTCTGCACTCCAATGCTGCACCCCCGGGTTCAATGGTAATTATCATTGCAGTGCTACAGAAAGGACATTTTGCACTGAGGGACACATATCCAACTCATGGATTTGACCATGCTGCATCTCCAGTCTGTTCACTTGCTCTCTTAGCACTGACTACTTTGAGCCAACCTGGATGCTCTCAGCACCCCTGCCTTGCCTTGACTTTTTTCACTTTGCCCCTTCAGCCAGAGATACCAAGCTCACAGAACTTCTTTCTTGCCTTACCATTTGATGCAGAGACAAAGCCAGGACACTTGCCATGGTTGTCAGCAGTCCTCAGTCAAGTCAAGGATGATAGACTTTGGTCGGGAGGACACAGCACAGTAAGTCAAGGGAAGCTTCCGAAACCAGTTCAGGACATGGACATAGTCAATCAGCTGCTTGGGGTGGTCAGGGTCAGGATGCTCTCCTCATAAGGGATAAGAAAGCAATTGTCAGGCAGCTAACCAATTGTCTTGACTCTTTCTGCCCTGTTTACTTCGGAAATTCAACCATGAAGGGAGAAGAAAATAGTTGGCGCAATTGTTCCTTTATTCAGGTGGGAAATGTCAATAGGCAGTGCAAGGGCTTGCAGGGTTAGTGGCATCAGGGGTTGGGTGGATGACAGTGAGTGAGTGAAGATGTTGCAGGCAGTAGTGAGAGTGGTAAAACATGAGGTTTGGTGGTAGATGGGTACAATAGCAGAGACAGAGATCTCAAAGAGAAGATCATGGCACTTACATGGGTTGATATGGCAACTGCTCTGCCCAGGGCTATAAGCAACTACTGAAAGTTGTGAACACTGTGCAGGCCATCACGCAAGCCAAACCTTTGAAGCTAGGACAAGAGGGCATAGCCTCAAGATTAGAGGGAGCAGATTTAGGACTGAATTGAGAAGGAACTTCTTCACCCAGAGGGTTGTTAATCTATGGAATTCCTTGCCCAGTGGAGTAGTTGACGCTACTTCAGTAAACGTTTTTAAAGATAAGGTAGATTTTTTTTGAACAATAAAGGAATTAAGGGATACGGTGAGAACGCGGGTAAGTGGATCTGAGTCCATGAAAAGATCAGCCATGATCTTATTGAATGGCACAGCAGGCTCGAAGGGCCAGACAGCCTACTCCTGCTCCTAGTTCTTATGTTCTTATGTTCTTCCATCCATTGATTCTAACTACACTTTTTGTTGCTGCAGAAAGGCAGCCAACATCATCAAAGACCCCTCCCACCCAGTTTTAATCTTTCCAACCTCTTCCATCAGGCTGAAGATTCAAAAGCTTAAACACACGTACCAACAGATTCAAGAACAGCTTCATCCCTGCTGTCATTAGACTTCTTAATGGACCTCTCAAATTTCAAATCTAATGGTGATCTTGCTTTTTGTGCACTTTCTTTACAGCTATAGCTTTGTATTCCTTGCTCTGTTCAGTCGCCCTATGATCTTTGTATGTTATGATCTGCCTGTACTACACAAAATAAAATGTTTCACTGTACTTAGGTACATGTGATAATATGAAATCAAATCAAATCAAATACTGTTGGGCATTCCTCCAGACAACTGAGACTGCACTAAGCCAGGTGGCAGCCTCTGACCAGGCTGGCACAGTCAGATATTGTGATTGCTTCTGCTAGACCTGAGCGAAGAGAATTTCCCACATCTGCATCATCCTACCCACCAGGAATTCTAAGTCCCTGCCAGAAAGCATGGCACCAGCCTTCCCTTCTCTGCTATGACTGGGGCAAATCCAGTCTGACAGTCCATATCCAGTTGTAAAACGGCCTTTTAAAGATGGTACCAACAGGGCTGCTGGTGAATTCTAGGATAGCCCAGCAATGTCGAGTTGTTCCAGGAACAGCAGATGATAGAATGGGGTGAGAATCGCTTGAGAGAGGCACCTTAGGGGCAGGTGTTGAGGTTAATGATGCGAACGTTAACCCATTGAGTCTCGCAGACAGAAACACACCACGAAACTCACCAAACCAGGTACTTCGCCAAGATTCAGCCCTATAATCCTTTAAATTTCCTTATGCTAATTTAATGACTCCTTAACCCTGAACGAATATTACTTTCTTTTGGGCATCTCACATTCTGACCCTTCCCTCAAAGGAAATGACTGATAAAAAATAATAATTTGTCGTCTCCACCATTTCCTTGTCTTCATTTACAATATCAATGCTCTCAGTTATCAAAAAGCCTTCATTCTTCTTCCAAAGTTAAGCAATTATAATAAAAAATGCTGATTTTTATATCCCTTAAACGTTTCTTTTCACGTTCCCTTTTTGTACCTCTTATGATCAGTTTTGTTAATCTTTGCTGTTCTCTGTATTTCTGCCATTCACTAAGATCTGTCCCTTTTTTACATTTCATATTTTTTGCTTTAGTTTTATACTCTCTTTTATCTCTTTATTTGCCCAAGGCTGTTTTCAATTGCACTAGGGCTCTTGGCCCTTAAAGGTATGAACTGGATCTGAAATCACATTAAATATGTTTTTGAACACCTCCACTGATTTTTTTTTTCATTTTATTTACAAATATGTCCATACCTCATCTCCCATTGACATCAAGTTTACTTAAATCTCATTTTTCCCTTTCATATACAATGTTAAATTCAAACCAATTCTGACTGCTGTTAGATAAGGGTTACCAGCAGTAGGCAGGAAAATGGAGGCTACAGCACAATCAGATCAGACATGATCTTACTGAATAGCAAAGGAGGTTCAAAGGTTTGAAAGTTCAAATGGCACAAGCTTGGTCCCAATTATCTGTTCCTATACTTACAGGCAAATAGTCATGCTAGAAAATATTAGTCGGGTAACTAAATTGCTCATTGCTAAATCAAATACGGCAAGCCCTTTTGTTGGCTCAAGGACATGTCTGCCTGATTTTCAGTCCTGAGCTGGGAGCAAGCTCTCAACTTTGATTCTGAGGGTGAGGGGAAGTGTGTTAATAGGAGTCAAGCCAGGCACACCCCAGACAAAAGTTTGGAGGTAGCCACAGAGGCTGCTAAGTATGAAGATGAGCTGTGGGAAAGGCTCACTTCACTGATCTGGAACTTTGACACACACACACACACACGCACACACACACACACACACACACAACACTCCCTATATCCATTCCATGGGATGTGGCAATAGATGGTCAACCATGATCTACAATATCAGAGGAGGCTCAAGGGGCTGCGAGGTTGATTCCTGTTCCTACTTTGCTATGTTTCAGAGTAAGCCTTGTTTCTGGGTGACAATTTAAGAATACCCAGAAGACCAAGGGATAGGATCTTCCATGGATATGGGATACCATAACTGAGAAAAATAGGTAGAAGCAATTAGAAGCTGAGAGTGACTTTGGGATTTTTTTGGTAATGAGCAAATACATATGCAATGTGGGTCATTGTTCATGTCCAGGCATAAATAATGGTTATCCTTCTTGTAGCTTAGAGTATTGGTTGCCTACAACGTAATATTTAATCAATATTCATTTTAATTTGTTCCAGTAAAAGACTTAAAACTTGAAATCTTATCATCCAATTCCATCTACTGGTCAGTGGGAATTTAGATCTGTTTATAAAAGTTATTAGTCTCTCTTCATGTATGTAACACAGCCAACTCTCTAAGCATTTTCTCAGCCTCTTGTATATAGTGAATTGAAAATGATTTCTCAAACCTAGAAGTAGTCCAAAAATATTAAGTCAAATGCTAAAATTCTGAGCAAACATTATAAACTAAGACATACTAAACAAAGTTAAATGGTCTTGAGCCATGCTCTGAAACCTAGCATTATATATTACAGAATTAATTGTTTAAAACAGGACTTTTTTTTTTAAGGAGTCATTTCACAGAATGAAGGAATGAGAGTCATTTTGAAAGTGAAAGTAAAAGAAGGCAACATTGCGCATTTGACTTTAGATATTTAAATACAGTATTTTTTTTTACCTCCTTATTTCTAAAAGTACAACCAAATGTTCAAAAGAGAAAAAAAGTTCAAATGCTTACCTCTACATGGATAGTGACATTGACAGTTGTTGAAAGAGAAGGAACTCCTAAATCATACGCTTTCACAATTAGATTAATTTTTCCATCTGAAGATTTCATGGCCTCTCGATCTATGGGACCAATAGAACGGAGAACACCCGAGATTGGATCAATGGTAAAATTTTGTTCATCGTCACCAGCAACTATTGTGTAGCGAATCTCACTGTTATTGGTGTTGACCTCATCATTGTCAAAAGCCTTTACAAAACAAAAGAAATTAAAAACAAATTTATAAGATGGTCTTTCACATTTTAATCTTTTTTAATATTTTTTATTTATTCATTCATGAGATACGGATGTCACTGATTGGGCCAGCATTCATTGCCCATCCCTAGTTACCCCTGAGAAGGTGGTGATGAGCTGCCTTCTTGAGCAGCTGCAGTCGATTTGGTGCAGGCAGAATCACGGAGACATTAAGGAGGGCATATCAAGATAATGAGACAGTGAAGCTGAAGAAACTATATATTTCCAAATCAGAATAGTGTGTGGCTTGGACTGGAAATCGTAGGCTGTGGGGTTCACATACATCTGCTGCCCTGATCCTTCCTGATAGTGATTGTGGGTTTGGAATATGCTGATTCTAAGTAGCCATGATGAATTTCTGTAGCTCATATTGCTGCTATTGAGCATCAGTGATAGAGAGAGTGGATGTTTGTGGATGTGATGCCAGTCAAGTGTAGTCAAACGTCTCATGGATATTGGACCTGCAGCCATCCCGGAAAGTGGGGGCTATTTCAACACACTCCTGACTTGTGTGTTATGGATGATGAACAGGCTTTGGGAGGTAAGGAGAAGAGTTACTTACTGCAGTAATCCTAGCCTCTGACCTTCTCTTGTAGCCACTGTATTTACATAATCAGGGCCAATTCAGTTTATGGTCAATTGTAACCTCCAGGATGTTGACTGTGGGGGATTCAGTGATGGTAATTCTATTGAATGTCAAGGCACAATGGTTAGATTTTCTCTTGTTAGAGATGGTCATTGTCTGGCAATTGTGTAGCAAAAATGTTATTTGCCACTTGTCAGTGCAAACCTGCACTTCGACATTAACTGCTTCAGTATATGAGGAATCGTGAATGGTGCTGAACATTGTGCAATCATCAGCTAACATCCCCACTTCTGACCTTATGTTGGAGAGAAGGTCATTGATGAAGCTGCTGAGGATGTTTGGGCCTAAGACACTACCCTGAGGAACACCTGCAGAGATCCCTGGAACTGAAATGATTGACCTCCAAAAACCACAAGTATTTTCCTCTGTAGCAGCTATGACTCCAACCAGCAGAGAGCTTGCCACTGATCCCCATTGATTCAGGTTTGCTTAATTTCTTTGCTGCCTCAATCAAATGCAGCTTTGATGTCAAGGGCTGTCACTCTCACCTCACCTCTGGAATTCAGCTCTTTTGTCCATGTTTGAATGAAGGCAAGGTTTGAACTAAACTGGGATCACTGAGCAGGTTATTGCTGAGCAGGTGCTGCATGATAGCACTGTTAATGACACCTTCCTGATGATCAAGAGTAGACTGACGGGGCGTTAATTAGCCAGGTTGGATTTGTCCTGCTTTTGATATGCAGGGCATAACAGGGCAATTCTCTACATTGTTGGGTAGATACCAGCATTGTAATTGTACTGGAACAGCATGGCTTGGGGTACGGCAAGTTCTGGAGCACAAGTCTTCAGTACTATTGCAGAAATGTCGTCAGGGCCCGTAACCAGTGCGTCCATCTGTTTCTTGATATCATGTGGAATGAATCAAACTGGCTGAAGACTGGAGAAGCCTGAGATGAATTATCCACTCAACACTTCTGATGGAAGTTTGTTGTGAATGCTTCAGCCTTATCTTTTACACTGATGTGCTGGACTCTATCATCATTGATTCCACGAATAAATAAAAAAAAAGGTCATAGTGTCAAACAAAGTGATTCAGTGATCTCTTTATCACACTGTTAAGGTTATTCCTCTCTGTCTCATTTTACTAATGTTTCACTAAATTTTGTGTTCTGTTGAGATGATAACACAATTCAACCACTGGAACAAATACACCTTGACAACTACCACAGATTAACCAATATATAATATTTGCTGTTCCAGTTAAATGTCTCATGACATTTTCTACATTTCATAGAACACAAGATCACTATCATATTTTGATTATATCCAGACATAAATTTTAATTGTGTCCCTTAATATCAAAAAAATGTCAATTAAACAGGTATGTTTTGTTCACTCTGGTGTGGATGGTGTGATTTATACATACATATATATGCTTCATTATCATTTATTTTAAGTTTGCATTCTTGGTATTTCGCATTCTGGGTTTTTTTCTGTTTGAAGAGTTTTATGATTATAGCAGTTATTTAATTTAATTCAGCTTGAGGGTGTTAACTTGCATAACTAATGGAATTTTGTGCATATTAGGACAGTTAATGGCTATGCAGGGTAAACAATTGTACATTAAGGTCTTCTTTAGAGAATTCAAGACTTTTTTCCAGCTTAAGCAAAACACCCATAGTTTGTGGAAAAGGAGTTGTTTGACTTTTAGCTTTGTGTAGTTCTACAGAAGTCCTTGGATAAATGTGGATGTACAAAGCAGTGTTCCTGAGAAAGGGAGAAGATAGAACAATAGATTACATTAAAGTAAGGAGTCTAGTGATAGTTCCAGACCAGAAGTGTTTGGATGATACCCAAAGTGGTTCTTTGACGTTGAGATCATTTAAAGTCAGGAAAAGCTACCTGATTTTCCAGACAGGAAGTTGAACTCACAGTTAAGCAATTTGAGGTGTTAGAGAACAAGGTATGTCTCTGATGTGAGGACTGTAATGGGGTGTCTTGGGACTCTGTAAAGGAGTCTTTTGGGATTAATAGATATATATGTCTACTATGTCGTTCAATATATTGAAAGACATATTATATGTAAATGATTGGGTGTATTTTATTTTGCTCAATAAGCTTTAGTTTTATTGTAAAAAGCAATGTAACTTTGCATGCTAGCTTTTCAGTAGAGATCATCTTGTTAAACCAAAACAAAATAAAACATAATTTATCAGCATCTCCGATGCTGCTTGGCCTGCTGTGTTCATCCAGCTCCACACCTTGTTATCTCAGATTCTCCAGCATCAGCAGTTCCTGCTATCTCTGTAATAATTTATCAAGCTAGATTTCAGTGTGGGATCTGACTTGTCCAGTAATAATATCAGCTGGAATCACAACAGTAGGAATGTGTGCCTGAAGTAACAATTTAATTCAATGTGCCTCTCATAGAAAACATAAAAATGACATTAATGATAATGGCGTGATATTATAAAATTTCTCTTTTGAGATTAAGAAATAACACATTATGGGGATAGATTACTCGAATAAACATGCAATGGAACACAGAAAAGAACTAAAAACATGTTGGATTTTGACCTACTTCAATTTTAATATTTAAGTCATTTCCTTGGTTTTCAGTGATGAATGCAGTATAGGACTCTCTTGACATTACTGGATGGTTATCATTTATGTCTTCTAAAACAATTTCGAGCGATGTTGTACCCTTACGGCCCCCACCATCTGTTGCCTGAAGAGTTGCATAATATCTGGGACGTTTCTCTCTGTCAAGCAATGTTTTGTTCGCAACCATAATTTCGCCTGTCCTGTTGTCAACTTTAAATTCCTGTCTTTAGTTAAAACAACAATTAAGTTAATCTGCAGCCGTCCTAAATTCACATACAAGTTCTGCGGGCAAACATTGAAAAATATAAGCAATTAATGTTCTTGTCACACTCTTATTGCTTCAACATTTCAGGTTTGAATTTTCAAAATACTAAATATGTCAGTGGTGCATTGTCTGCTGGAAAGTGCAGGAGGCGGAGTTTTCAAATGGTTACTTTGCCCTAGGTTTGACCCCATTCTAAATGCCAGATAGTGAGGACATTTGCATGAATGCTGTGGAAACCCACCTCAGAATCAGCATGATAAATCTCACTGTTCCTGCCACCACTTTGCAATCACGTCTTGACACTCCACAGTAAAGGGTGAGTTCACAGGCTAGAATCTCCAATGATTCCCAAAGCTATACTTTGATGGGCCCTCATTGGTGACTTTGGGAGTGACTGCACTTCAGACAGTGCACAATGAGTCCCATGCACAACTCTCATCAGCACACATTTGTGCTTCTTTCAAACATGTACACTGCTGGCTATAGCTGCAGAGTATGTACATTGTGAGGTTTCCAGGATAACAGGACCTCATTAGAGACCACCCCAAAAAATGACATTGACATGGAAGGAGAATGAATGGAAGAACCATCTATTCCCATTCCACATCTCTCTCCTCTGGATCAGTAGTCATCACAAAACTGAGTAAAGTGCAAATGTCCTAAAAGTACTAGAACCCTCTCCTATATTTCCATTCCTCAGCTTCTGGACTGACAGACTTATGCTTCAAAGGAAAATATATATGCACAAAAGTTTTTGTGTTTATTTTCCGCAAATGTGTTTTTTTCCTCTGCAAAAGGTGCTAAATATTGCTGAGTTCACAGTTCTACTGGATTGGTAGCCTTGTTTATTGATATGAGGTCTTAAATGATTGATGCATCAAGTTTACTCAAATATGGAAGCATTACGCCAGGCTGAAGTCTGTTGTTATCCATACAGATCGACACAGACTCTAGGAAGAACTTGAGAGTTCACAGTTTTTCATTCTTTGCTCAGACCTTTAAAAAAAAGACTTATGATTTCAGGTATGTACCGTTTATCAGTGTTCTCTTGAAGGGTAAACACTCAAAATGTCACATCCTGTATTATCTCTTTCTGATGCTGGATGAGCTACAGTGCATTTTTAGAAAATTGTAAATGCAAATTAATATTAGGCATATTAATATTCTATTTAAATTATTCCTACCAGGCAAGAAATGAGCCACAGCATGTTTGGCACCAATTTTATATCCAGCACTTTTTTTAAACCTCTTAATTTCCACAATTGTACACATACCTACCAACAGCTTTCATGCTCCAGATGGCATCAAGAATAGATAACTGACTTGTTTCTGGGAAAATACTAGGGGTTGGTTAGCTTAGCTGGCTGGATGGCTGATTTACAATGCAGAATAACTCTAACAGCACAGGTTCAATTTCCACCTTCACTTTAGGTTACCACAATAGAGCCTTCTTCATAATCTCTCCCCTTGCCCAGGGCATGGTAAACCTCAAGTTAAACCCACATCAGTTGTCTATCTCTAATCAGAGAGCAGACCTGTGGTCCAGTAGGATTATGTTGGCTTTACTTTATTAAAATACATTAAGGTCAGTTAGAAAAGCTATTAATTCCAAATAATGGGTCAGGAGTATTGATTTATGTATACATACATGTTCTCCTGTAATAGGCTGTACGTAATTTTACCAAAGAGTCCAGTGTCAGGATCTATTGCCTGTGGAACAAGATTCAAAATAAATAATCATGATAACATTAGTAACAATGTTCTTTCTTTGTGCTATGCTTCCTTCAAAACATTTCTTGCCAAAGAGAAATCAATGAACATTTTGATTAATCCAGAAAATTGGAATATGAAATCTGCAAGGTAATGTAAATAATTTTGAAGGAAAAGTTAGTTATACCTAAGTATACCTTCTCAACAAATCAACTGAAAGATCAAACCATTCAGTGCACAGAAAAGATCGATTTAATTTAGTCCAACCACAGAATTCAGGGTAGTATTTGGGCAAAAGTAATTATGAATGAGTTGTAAGAATACAATAATAGAGATACGAATGTGATCATGTAGAAGCCCAACTGATAATGTTGATGCATTTTTTAAAATAAGAACGTTGAAAAGATGAGATATTAATGTTTCAGGGAGGAGTCCTGAAAAAAAACCTTTTAGAAGAAGATTTTAGCATCTACAGATTCCCACTCTTGTTTCCATTTGTGAGCATCAGATATTTCAGCTCACAATTTGATGCAGACAGCCCCTTATGTCTCTATGTTGGAAGGCAGACTTTGGGGAAATCCCATGATTTAGATGCACACATTTCATACTGAAGTGCTGGCCAGGAGCAATCTTTGAGGACAGACATCCTCCACTGAAGATATGTGTTGGAATTTAGAATGATGGTGGAAGCGTGTGTCATTTCTGCTTGCATATCAGTCCCTGCATATGGAATTTAATGCTAATTTTAAAGAGCAAGAGGCAATCATGTGAGACACATGTGATCACATTGCAGGGATGAATGGGAAATTACCCCATCCACCATTGGGTTACCGCACTGTATCTCTGGGGGGACTGAGAATGGGCCCCCATGATAAGCACAGAGGCAGTGCAGTCAATGTAGCATTTTATAAATTCGTACTTTAGAAATAAAACCAGTCTGTCTCCAAACCAAAACATAAACAGATTCTAAACAAGGCCTCACACCTAACATGTATTGTCTGACCCAAAATGTCACCTCTTCTTTACAGTGATAAAACTTTATTTCTCTCGGGGCAGTGACTTGAAGAAATTCAGGGATTTACATATACATATTAATCAATTAAAACCTTCTAATTGATTAAAGATTTAACAGTATCTTAGGTTTGTTTAATACATCCTCATCAGTGGTGTGACCCTGTAAACTTTTACTTATAAATTCTGTAGCTGATGCCACCTCTCTCATTAACAACTGAAGAAGGAGCGAGGCTCCGAAAGTTTATGTTTTCAAATAAACCTATTGTACTAAAAACTGGTGTCGAGTGATTTCTGACCTTGTCCACCCCAATCTAACACCAGCACCTCCACATCATGCAAATATAGGGAATAGGGGTTCCTGCCACAGGATGTGTGCTGACCTGCTGCCGAAACACATGCAAATTAATCCCTTAAACCCAAACCACGATTGGTTCCTACCTAAGTCACCTTACACCATATTTCCTGCTCCCAGAAGCCCTGTTAAATTCCACCCATGGTGTGCTCTGGTTGACAGGTGATGGCTCCTATTACGATGGTTCTGGAGCCCAAGGAGAGAGAGCATAAGTTCTCAGAGGAGGTCCTGGTGAAGGAATTACAGCTTGGAGAGATGTTGATCCCAATAATTATACCAACACCAGTATCACAACCTTGATGTGCTGCATCCACGATCTAAGTACATAGTGACATTCCACATTAATCTTTCAAGGCCATTAATTTCAAATCTCAAACTTACTTCACTGCTTTTCAAACAAATGAGGTATCATACACAAAATACAACTGTCAGAAATATTTGTGCACTATTACCACTATTTTGCTTTCATGAATAAGCAATATATAACTGTTTTATTATGTGTATGGAGTCTAATTATTTTTAGTCCACCCAGTATTGCTTCTTGCATCCAAGGTGTTTCCGTTCAAACTTCTTATTTACAGGATTCTCTTAGACTCAGAGAGAGCTTCTGCCTCCTTAAAGATCGCTCTGTATAAATATCTGACATTGACATTATTAAATCATTATATACCATCACCATTATACATTCTGCTGATTCTACATTGCTCCGCAATAACAGGCACCAGCAGCACTATCCAGAAGGAAAGAATAACTCCACCAGATCAGTGCCCTTGAAGAGACAGTATCGGTGGTAATCAGGAGGGGAATGGCAGAGACCATGGTCACAGTCAAAGCAGGAGACATATCAGAGAGCAGTATATGGCCAATTCAGCATCCTTACATATAAATAATTATTACTGGCTCCTAATTGCCCAAACCTATCTTTGCTTTCAAGTGCCACATTGTCTCACCAGATATATTCTCCTATAGTAGCCTCACGTGCTGCATCCAACTCTACCTTTCTAGCCTTACAATTGCAAGCCCAGGGGAACTAGAAGAGGGCAAATAACGACCTTAACTCCTCCAGAAGAGGATTTGCAGGAAGACAGTGAAGAAGAAGGTACTGCATCAAGCACTACCATTGTCATTGCTACCATGGCATAGACTGTCACCACACAAAATTAAAGGCTAAAGTAGCACACGCCAGACACAAGTATGCCGCAGCCATGCTTGATAAAAGGAATGCTACAGTTCTGCAGGATCAAGCTTCAGAAGAAGAAAGAGGGTTTTAAGATCATAAGAAAAAGGAACAGCAGTAGGTCATGTAGCCCCTCAGGCATGATGCACAATTCATTAGGATCATGGCTGATCCGACACTGATCACATCCATTTTCCTGCCTTTTCCCCATAACCCTTGAGTCCACGATTGATTAAGAATCAATATATCTCCAGCTTAAATATATACAAGGGCTCTGACCCCACAACTCTCTCTGATCACTTCTCATTCTTCTAAACTCCAGTGGGCAGAATTCCAACCTGTTTAGCATTTGGTCTTAAGGCTATCCCTCCATACCAGGGATCATCCTAGTCAACCCTTTCCTGAACTGCCTGCAATGAATCTTTCCTTTAAATAAGCAGACTAAAACTGCTCACAGTACTCCAGATATTGTCTCACCAGCACATTGTACAGTAGCACTAAGTCTTCCCTACTCTTATACTCCAATATTTGACAAATTAAATGTTTAGTGCAATAGCCAGTTTGCATAAAATTGAATGGGTCTTGATTAGTGAGATGGAAGAATCCATCTCTTCTTTGGTCAAAGACTTGGCAACAGATCTTGGAACATCCCCTCTTGAGTGTGGAGAGGCAAATCAATTCCAGACAGCAACTTTTGGAGTCTAACATTACACAGCAGCTGATGACAAAAGTCACAGATTCCAGCACAGTCATTTCAGCTTCCATGAAATGATGAAGTGCAGCAATGGAAGCGCAGATAGCTGCCATTGTGGCAGTGGGCTCCTCAGTTGGATGTGGTCGTAGAGTGTCTCCAATACCCACAGGCATGCCCTCCCCCAAATCATTGCACAGGCTACATAAATCCCCTGGGTAGAAACATAGGAATGATGTAGTCAGAACCAAGTTGACTGTCTCCAAATAGCAGAATTCCTAGTTCCATCTTCCACCACTTCACCATTATCCTTACAGTTAGCTGTCAGTCAGGCATCCAAAACTGCTCGTCTTATCCTGCTGACATGATACAATAAGGGGCTGGGCTATGACAGTTCTCAACCTCTCAAGAACTCTCCAAGAGAACATCTGAACTGCCCTCTTCAGATTCTCAGCAGTCAGCCACCTCACCTGCTGCTGGACTTGCCATTGTATTTCATAGTTGCACTAAATTTCACAAGACAGCATTAAGCATAAATGCCAGTGTGGAAGGTTTAATATTAGTAAGTGCTGTTGGTTTTGGTAAGCTCAAATGGCTTGATTTGAATGTACATAAACAGCGATTGAATAGTGTTGGAATCTGTCTATTGGATTGTGATCTTCATGGGGAAGTAATTGTAATTACTGAGTACAGATAACAAATTCCCTAATGGATCCTAAGTTGTCAATGGTAGCTTATGTGGCAAAAACTTAACCAAGTCTGAAGGTGCAGCATGTGTCTCAATTAGATGGTGTCAAGCATTCCTCATAGGCAAAACTTCTATCCCCCCTTGGGGTCTCTTTACCTCCTCTTCCTCAGCTTCTTTCTTCTTTTCAGGTGGCTCTTGAGTATGACCCTCAGGTACAACCACTGCTGGTAACTACTGGTCTCTCATGATTGACAGCAAGTCACCATGAATCTGAAGCCCTCCTTGATTTGACCTCACCTCAGCCTCCTCTCCTTCTCTCCCACCAGAAGCTCTTCTCCTATTACTGGCCTCATCTCCTTTCTCCCTCTCTCCCTTCCTCCTCTTTTGCATCTCAAGAGCTACAACTATTCACCTGAGAAACACATTAATGCTTATCGTACCCAGTAAAATAGTTCCCATTATGTTAAATTGAGCTTAAGTTCAGAGTTTTAGAAAAAATATTTCAGCTTGGATTAAATCAAAGTAAAATTAAACTTACCGTAACAATTCCAAATACAGTCCCAATGTCTGAATTTTCTTTCACACTGAGGATATAAGTTTGCTGTGGGAATTCTGGGCTGTGATCATTAATGTCAACAATGTCGATTGTAACTGTCGCTGTGGAGCAACATTTAGTTGGGTTGGTTGTATCATTTGCAACAATCTAGCAAAGAATTTTAAAATAAATTATTTAATTATCATTCTGCTCATGGGATTGTAAACCATAATGCTGATTGTTATTCCATACCAAATAATTTTGTTGCTAAATGTCATCCGTCTCATTTAGTGACCGTTTCAGAGTTACTTTAGCTTTCTCATTTCAAATTATTATATCTTTATACTGTCCTTAGGCTCCAATGCCAGACTGATAAATTGTGACATGCTGCTACCAAAATATAATCAAAACAATAGCTTGGATAAAAACATTAAATATAGAATTATTCATCCTCAGGCATTTCATAAAGGAAAGAGAAATGATCATTACACCAAGAAAAAAGAGATTAGGTGTTATGATGTATGTTATTATCGGTATTACTAAGGGTATTTGAAAGATTGGTTGAAGGGGTGGGATTGAATGAGTATATGGAGAAGTGAAAGTGAGAGATGGAAATCTTTAGGAGGCAATTTCAAGGCACTGGTCATTTATGCCAAATGGCATAAGGAAGAACCGATCAAAAGAGAGCAAGTCTGCAAATGGCAAGTTCAGGATGTAGGGTGTAAATGAAAATAAGGAAGTAGGAAGTAAATGAGTTACCACAGGATCATCTGATATATGAATATTGTAGTTAAGCTGTATCTACACTAACTTGCTCCATAAATATGCTGATACAACGTTGAATAAAAAGTGAAGGTTTGCAACTGAAGCAAATGGATGACTTATCCTTCATGCATTATTATTCTTCATGACTCATATTCTATCTATCATCACTCCATTGTTCCAGCAATTTTGTTAATTTTTAGCTCTATCTCAGTTCCACCTCCCTTGACTGTCCTACCACTGTTCTTGCGGACCAGTTCCTCATCCTCCAATTTGTCGAACATTCTGCTGTCCACATCTTACCCGCACACAAAATTCTTTTCACCCGTCAATCCTGTGTGTGCTGACTTATGCTAATTTGTTGCTGAACAATTTGGCTACAAATTTTTCCATGATCTTCGAAATCTTATTTCGGCAATTCTCTCCATGTCAATACTCTCACCGAATTCTGTGGTCTTTTGTGCAGTCCCTTCCATTCCTTTTTCCCCAACATTATTGTAATAATTCTCAGTTACCTCAATTCTGCTCTTTTGAACTCCTCAATCTCTCTTTCTCTACCACTAACAATCCTTTCAAAGCATATTTCTCTAAGAAAGTTCAGCATGTCCTTTCAATCTGGTCCTGGCCCATACCCATTTGTGAAGTGAATCCATTTGGGACATTTCTTTATGGAGAAGAAATAACGTGAGTGCAGGTTGCTGTTTTTGTTTGAAAAATTAGACATTGATTGGCAAGTTTCAGCTTCAAATAAGTTTAACATTTTTTTTAAATGAATGATTTTTTGAATTTACTAATTACTAATTAATATTGTGTTTCATATATTGTATATACCAAGTGTTACTCTGAAAATTTGGCCATTTTCTAGCTAGTATAAATTCTAATGAGACCCAAGAAAACTCTAAAGGGGAAAGAAATAGCCTTCTGCAAAAGCGCAAAATTGGCATTACTGCATTGGCTACCTGCTTTACACTGCACCTTATCTGAAAATACAGTATGGTAGTTGATTCACTAGTATCTGTTATGCATTTTTCTCAAAGACGAATTCACTCCCTAAATGTCCTTTGTTGTAAGTAATAACAATATTAATGACAGGACAAAAGCACAGCTTTTCAAATTTCTGAAAATGGGTATATGTATTCTTGAAACAAATATTACCTCAAAGATTGAAACCTTCTTCCGTTCATAATCAATAGCATCTGAGTTTTTCACTGCTATCTGTACCACTCCCAAGGTTTTGATCTCTTTTGGGGAAACAGTAAAATCTGACGCATTTGCTCCATGAAGGGACAACGTGAAGGTTCCATTCACACCCTGTAATAACTACATTGTTATCTTATGCAGGAACAACACAGGTGAAACTGAAACAAAGCTCAGGTTCAGACAGGAGATTTACAACATAATCACACATTTCTCCGTTGGAACAATAAAATAAATGCACAACTTAACTTTGCACAAAACAATCTTCTCAAACAACAACCTAAGTGAGATACCCGTCAACAGAGTGTACCTCAATGGCCTAGAAATTGTACCAGTTCTATACTTGGTTTCTCTCAGAGGTGCATATCCAAGAGTTATCTAACAGTTATGCAACCATTAGCTTTAGGAGGCTTACTCAATACCAGAAGCATAACTAATTCTAATTTCATACTTCAAATATAATCTTGAGGTACACTGTGTGAGTTTTAAAAAGATTACAAAGTATGAAAATGTATAATACTGTAATACAAAGTGACATTAGAATTATGTACCTGATCGGGATCACGAGCCACTATCGCTAAATTCTCCAATGGCACTCCTGACGAGAAATGTTCAGGAATGGAAATGTGAAATGAATTCACTTTTGGACTTTCAGTAAAATTACAAGTATCAAGAATGCAATCGTAGAATGCAGGTGTATTGTCGTTGATATCGGTCACAGTGATGGATACTTTTGTAATTGCTGAGGCAAAGGCTCCATTGATATCAAGATGTTTTTCCTTGGCCTAGAGGTAAAAAATAAATTCATTCATTTGGAAGATGGTATGTTGGACATAAATCAAAAAAGTATTACCAACATTTGCAGATTTCTGAGCTGTAAATCTGCACTGCAGTTTAACTTTTGTTGTCAGTTTGGCAGTTATTTCTAGTTGTCATTCAGAACTTATTCTCCAGAAATATAAAGTCAGATTTCAAATCCTAGCCTTTATTGCCATCTGAAACCAGCTCATCACTACAGTACAGTCCTGATGAAGGGTCTAGACCCGAAGTGTTGACTTTCCTGCTCCTCCAATGCTGTCTGACCTGCTGTGCTCCTCCAGCTCCACATTTTATTGACTCTGACTTCCAGCATCTGCAGTGCTTACTATCTCCTCATCATTACAGTATGTTAGCAGGACAGTTGGGTGCAGTGTTATAATCAGAGAAAGAGAATAGTAATTATGATAATTTATTATATCCTATGAAGTGTATCTTTTGTTAGATAAAGTGATGCAAAACCGACATATTTGTAAAAAAAATTACTAATTCTATAAAACGGTGTCCTTTATTAACAAAGAAAATAATACTGTCCAATGCCTCGAGAGAGAAGGAAGAATATGACTGTTGGACCAATTGCCAGAACCAAACAAAAAACAATGAAATAATATACTGAGGTGCCAGGAGAGAAGTGATAAAGAATAGGTTAAAAATGCTGAACAAATGAGAAAAAATTGCATCCAGCAGTATAATAGCAAGCTGGTAATCACAGGTAAAAATCAAACACGAAAGAATCACTTTCAATTGAAAATGAGAAATAAAGTAAAAACTTAGTTTTTTTTCTTTAGTTATTCACAGGATGAGGGCATTGCTGGCTAGGCAGCATTTATTGCCCATCCCTAATTGTGCAGAGGGCAGCTAGGAGTCAACCACATTGCTATGGGACTGGAGACGCATGTAGGTCCACCATCTGCCATGGCAGGATTTGAACCCAGGTCCCCAGAACATTATCTGGGTCTTAACAGTCTAGTGATAATACCACTAAGCCATCACCTCCCCCATAAACTTCTTTATGGGACATAAGTAGCATTTGAAAGATTGCATTGATTGCCCATCTCTAGCTTCCCTGAGAAGACGATAATGAATATTTCTTTGGAATGAAACAGTCCTTGAGGTCATGGTACTCCTGGAAAAAGTATCAAGTGAAGTATTCCAGAATACTGTCCAAATGATGAGTGACTTTTTTGTAGGGAATTTTGAAAATGTCATATCACGACAATGTTGCAGCCCTTGTTCTTCTAGATGATCAGGTTTGGAAAGAGATATGCTGCTGAGGTAATGCTGGTGACATTGTCAACAAATAAGAATTTAGTTAGGATTCTTAACCATCTGACAACATTAAAAATAAAAGTTTGTGTACCCAAAAATTTATTTGGGATGATTTTCAGACCCAGAATCAAACCAACATAGCAACATGGATTCTAATCATAAGGCCTGAGGCCATCATAAAATTGCATCTCAGGCTAGATATTGGTCATATACCAAACCAATCGTATCCATTGAAGAATATCAAAGCATCTACCTTACTATCAATGGGATGAAAAAAAGTGCTGGGGTTTGGTGGAGATAGGAATGGCAGTGGTTGAATGTTCATCAAACCCCTACAGGGTGGAAGCAGGCCATTTGACTCATTGAGTCCACACTGAACCTCCAAAGAACATCCCAGCCAGACCCACCCCATACCCATAACTCCACATTTCCGACCTAGCCTGCACATCCCTGGGCACTATAACATGGTCAATCCACCTACCCTGCACATCTTTGGACTGTGGGAGGAAGCCAGAGTACCCGGAGAAAATGCACACAGATAGTTGCCCGAGGGTGGGATCAACCCCAGAGTGCTAGTGCTGCAAGGCAGCAGTGTTAACCACTGAGCCACCATGCTGTCCTTGCAATTGCTGTCGATTGAGGAAACATTCCTGCTCCTCCCATGCCCACAACAACATTCATTGATAGATTTTGTTTTGAAGTTTATTTTTAATTTCATGACTGCCACAGGAATCACTGAAGGATCTTTCTTTTTATCAATACATGGGGTGTGGATATCACTGGCCAGGCCAGTCTTTCTTGCCAATCCCTAATTGCCAAGAACACAGCTAAAAGTCAATCATGTTGCTGTGGGTCTGGAGTCACGTGTAGGCCAGACTGCATAAGGATGGCAGATCTCCTTCCCTGAAGGACATTAGTGAACCTGACCCTACATCTGCTTAAATTGAACAACACTTAGAGGAAGCACTGAGGATGGCAAGGGCACTAAATGTACTCTGGGTGGGGGATTTCAATGTCCATCACCAAGAGTGGCTCGGCAGCAGTACTACTGATCGAGCTGGTTGGGTCCTACAGGACAAAGCTGCTAGACTGGGTCTGCAGCAGGTGGTGAGGGAATCAATAAGTGGGAAAGACATACTTGACATCATCCTTACTAATCTGCCAGCTGCAGTTGCATCTGTCCATGACAGTATCGGTAAGCGTGACCATCGCACAGTCCTTGTGGAGAAGAAGTCCCGCCTTTACATTGAGAACAACCTCCATCGTGTTGTGTGGCACTATCACCGTGCTAAATGGGACAGACTTCGCACAGATCTAGCAACTCAAAACTGGGCATCCATGAGGCGCTGTGGGCCATCAACAGCAGCAGAATCATATTCCAGTGCAATTTGTAACCTCATGGCCCGACATATCCCCCACTCAACCATTACCATCAAGCCAGGGGATCAACTCTGGTACAATGGAGAGTGCAGGAGGGTATGCCAGGAGCAGCACCAGGCATACCTGAAGATGAGATATCAACCTGGTGAAGCCATCAAACAGGGCTACTTGCACGCCAAACAGCGAAAGCAGCAAGTGATAGACAGAGCTAGGCGATCCCACAACCAACGGATCAGATCTAAGCTCTGCAGTCTTGCCACATCCAGTCGTGAATGGTGGTGGACAATTAAACAACTCCCTGGAGGAGGAGGCTCCACAAATATCCCCATCCTCAATGATGGAAGAGCCCAGCACATCAGTGCAAAAGATAAGGCTGAACTATTCGCAGCAATCTTCAGCCAGACTTACTGAGTGGATGATCCATCTCGGCCTCCTCCAGTGGTCTCTAGTATGACAGATACCAATCTTCAGCCAATTTGATTCACTCCACGTAATATCAAGAAACGGTTGGAGACACTGGATATTGCAACATTCCAGCAATAGTACTGAAGACATATGCACCAGAACTTGCTGCTCCCCTAGCCAAGCTGTTCTAGTACAGTTACAACACTGGTATCTACCAACAATGTGGAAAATTGCCCAAGTATGTCTCGTACACAAAAAGCAGGACAAATCCAACCCGGCCATTTACCGCCCCATCCGTCTACTCTCGATCATCAGTAAAGTGATGGAAGGTGTCATCAACAGCGCTATCAAGCAGCACCTGCTCAGAAATAAACTGCTCAGTGACACGCAGTTTGGGTTCTGCCAGGGCCACTCAGCTCCTGACCTCATTACAGCCTTGGTTCAAACATGGACAAAAGAGCTGAATTCCAGAGGTGAGGTGAGAGTGACAGCCCTTGATATCAAGGCTGCATTTGACCAAGTGTGGCATCAAGGAGCCCTAGCAAAACTGGAATCAATGGGTATCAGGGGACAAATGCTCCGGTGGTTAGAGTCATACCTCACACATAGGAAGATGGTCATGGTTGTGGGAGGTCAATCATCTCAGTTCCAGGACATCTCTGCAGGAGTCCCTCAGAGTAGTGTTCTAGGCCCAACCATATTCACCTGCTTCATCAATGACCTTCCCTCCATCATAAGATCAGAAGTGGGGATGTTCGCCGATGATTGCACAATGTTCAACACCATTCATGACTCCTCAGGTACTGAAGCAGTCCATGTTCACATGCAACAAGATCTGGACAATATCCAGGCTTGGGCTGACAAGTGGCAAGTGACATTCACACCACACAAATGCCAGGCTATGACCATCACCAATAAGAGACAATCTAACCACCGCCCCTTGACATTCAATGGTGTTACCATCACTGAATCCCCCACTATCAACATCCTGGGGGTTACCATTGACCAGAAACTCAACTGGACTCACCACATTAACAGAGTGGCTGCAAGAGCAGACTAGAAGCTGGGAATACTGCAGCGAGTAACTCACCTCCTGACTCCTCAAAGCCTGTCCACCATCTACAAGGCACAAGTCAGGAGTGTGATGAAATACTCCCCACTTGCCTGGATGAGTGCAGCCCCAACAATATTCAAGAAGCTTGACACCATCCAGGACAAAGCAGCCCACATGATTGGCACTACATCCACAACCATTCACTCCCTCCACCACCGACGCTCAGTAGCAACAGTGTTTACTATCTACAAGATGCACTGCAGAAATTCACCAAAGATCCTTAGACAGCACCTTCCAAACCCACGACCACTTCCATCTAGAAGGACAAAGGCAGCAGATATATGGGAACACCATCACCTCCAAGTTCCCCTCCAAGTCACTCACCATCCTGACTTGGAAATATATCACTGTTCCTTCACTGTCGCTGGGTCAAAATCCTGAAATTCCCTCCCTAATAGCATTGTGGGTCAACCCACAGCAGAAGGTCTGCAGCGTTTCAAGAAAGCAGCTCACCACCATCTTCGCAAGGGTACCTAGGGATGGGCAAGAAATGCTGGCCAGCCAGCAACGCCCACATCCCACAAGAAATGAATAGAAAAAAAAATTTATCGACAAATATTAATGAGAGGACTCCTGCAGATTTTAACCTCCTCACTTACAAGAATCCTAACAGTTACGAAACAACCTTTAATAATATTGCACCACCAATTAGGATGGCACAACTCAGGTGGCACAACCCATAATTGATCCATTCCCCCGTTTTCCACCAAGAAAATAGGTACAATCAGGAAGAAGTTCCCACCCACTGCTCATGCCCATTAATTATCAATCAAATATAAATAATAATCATTCTACATTTTAATCTTCTGTTATCATTAGGGCATCTAGTATCCTGAAACACCTCTGACCTTATTACCTCCCAGCTGAAAGGAATATATTGAAAGAGAGCATGTAAAACAAACTGAAATGGCCCTCTAAGTTTTGGATTGCAGTATTTACTCTATCAGGAGATGGTATAAAATGATTTAAATATTTTTGCTTTAATCATTAATTTCCTGATGATATATTTAGGTGAATATACTAATATGTCAAGACAGTTCAATAAGGTAAAATGCGTAGGATATATAACTTGTTTTGCAGTAGATATTGTATATCTACAACGTATTGCATTTTACTTACCATAACCTGCAGTTCTACAACTGTGTTAAATTCAAGAAGTTCCTCTCGGTCAAGAGAATGAAGCACAAATATATCTCCCTTTTGAGCATTAATACCAAATAAATCTGGTGGTTTTGATGCTATAAGTGAAAAGTAACAGATGACATAAACAATACTAAAAGCTTTTCGCTATTAACCGCTTTATATTTTTCTTAGAGAAATTGCACAATAAAAGAAATGTGTGAGGATATAAAGCAATCTGCTTGCTTACTTAAAATTGAATATGTAATTTCACTGTTAATTCCTCGGTCACCATCCACAGCTGTAACCTGAAGTACAGTTGTTCCCTGAAAAAGAAATTCAAAAACAAAAAAAATTTCTGTCGTTAGTTGAAAGCATTATGTGAAGTAGACACAGATTAATAACATTGTTGTTGCATCGCCATAGCCTTACCAGACTGTGGGGCTGCTCTCTCATTAGAGAGAAACGATTGGTCATGGTTTAACCTGAGGGCCACCATACATCAGGTGAGCGGAAAGGTTGAGAAGGAGAGTCCTTCATGGTAACCTCAGCTGGCGATGGGAATTGAACCCATACTGTAATTTTGAAGAACTCAGTCTTTCCAATAAAATACTTCTATTTAAGTTAGCGTTCACATTGTTTAATTATATCATTAAGAAGGTTCTACACATTTTCATTGATCCAGACCTCTCAATAATACCGTTGAATGTGATCACATAAAAAGCATATTGTTATGCCTCACTTGGGTAGCATGCTGAAAATCAAGCCCTCCTGTGCCTGGAGTTGTCACAAAAGTCAGTAACTTTATAAAAGTGCCCAAAATTCCTCAATTTACCTTTTTTAAGACTCAGGTTGACAGAAAGCACAGGCCAGTTTTCTGAATGTAACAACAATTACTGTTTATCACAAATAAATAGATAACAGCTACAGGTAAATAACAATGAACTGCTGACATGTAACTCTATCAGATAAAATTCTAACCAAAATAAACCACCCATCCCCACACATACAGAGAAACACAAATTAAATTGGTATTATTAATGAAGAGAAAAATTAAGAAGGCAGTCGATAGTCTGTGTTCACAGAGTTCACTGAGATGATCCTTTTGGCTTGTTAGAACTTGCTACTCCTCAATCTCTCTTCTCCAGGTACTTTCACTTGCTTGCAGGAGGCACAGAGCGACTGGTACACAGCTTATGAAGTCTCTGACTAATTGGTTGTAGCTTAAAGAAACTGGCAAAAGAAAATAAATTGTCCTCCTTCAGGTGTTACTTTTCTTTACTGCAGAATAAAAGACACCACTTCTTCTTCTGAAAGTCTGAAGGTTTCTGGCTATAATGTTTACACCCAAAGGCTCTCCAGCTACCTGCAAGCCAATCACACATTTGTGGATAGGTCGAAGGCCTTTGTCATTGACAACAGGTCCACAGACCAATCACCTACTTGATGCCAGTTGAATCTTAGTTTGTACACACTCCCTGGTGCCAGGTCATCTGCAACTAAAATTCCACCATTGATTGAGCAATCAAAAATGTAAATAGAACTTACAATAATTGTTGGTAACCTGCTTTTTAGAAGTGCAGTAATCTCTTCTACAATCTTTGGTTTTTAAAAGAGTCTTTTTCCTCAAATCAGTCCACAAGCAAAAATACAGAAAAATAAAAAGATACAGTCATTACATGACTACACCCTTATAAGATCAAAGGACATTTTAAGAATGCATTTCATCACAATATGTGAAACATAAACAACAAAATATAGACCTACATCCATTCATCCTTCATCACCCTTGACACAATCTTAGTGCTTCTCAAACTCTTAAGTTATTCCAACATGTTATATGTGGGACAATGCATCTGTAATACATTATCTTTTTCATCAATGTAAATAACTTTATATTAAATGGATGGAACAAAAGACTCCATCTAAATAGTCTCACATTTCAAGTTTTCAACTTTTTAATGATAACCAATGGATAATAACCAGTGTAAATCAATGTTTCTCAGTTACTGCATCGGGCATAGAAATCAAAATGTTGAAGAGCCAAAAATAATCCACCTGGAATAATCTGTCAATAATAAACCCTGGACTCAGTTGCACATCCATTATGCCAATCCTTTCATGGGCTCAATGCTTTTGGTCATTGTGGAAGCCCATTCAAACTGGTTAGATGGGCATAGAGTTTATTCGTCAAACACAGGACAGCGATAGTAGAACTGCACACATCTTTTTCAATACATGCACTCCTTGAAATATTGTTCATAGATAATGTGTCATCACTTATCAGCAGGGAATCTGAGTATTTTCTAAAGTTGAATGGTATCCGATGTGTAACTACGACTCCATACCATTCATCATCCAATGGTCTGGCAAAAACAGCAGTCCAAACTTTGAAGGCCGGCTTAAAGAAACAACCTACTGATTCACCAAACACCAAACTGTCCTTGTTCCTATTTCATTGTACAACCACCCCTTGTGCAACTACAGGGATAGATCCAGCAGAGGTTCTAAAAGGGAGAAGACTCCACACCAGGTTTAATCTGATCTTCCCAGACCTGGGAGGGAGAGGGTGAAACAGCATCAGGAAAGCCAATGCTGCACACAAGACTCCACCAAGTGAGACAGACAGCTTACTTCAGGGGATGAAGTTTAGTGAAGGAACCACAGGAATGACCCTGCGTGGGTAAGAGGCATGGTCTACGCCAGGTCAGGTCCAGTGACGTATAAAGTTGCAACTGTCCTGACTAAGCATATGGACCGCATGAAAGCTACAAACTTGTACGTGGTGCGGGAGCAAAATGTACATAGTTCCTCAACAGCCTTTCTGACTGTTCTGGAACCCTATGGGTTCTCCTTCTCCATAAAGTGTTGAAGATACCTCAGAATCTGAGATGATCACGACAGATGTCACTGCTTTAATGCCTTTTCTTCCTGAAGAAGAGAATGAATTTCTTCCAGGATGCTCTGAGCACGAGTGGGAAGCTACTGTGTGTTACAAGACAACCATATCAGAGGCAGAGTTGGAAGAACCTGACCCAGTGCAAAAAGGCCCCAGGAGGAGCAACAAGTCCTATGTCCTCAGACTGTGAAGGGGAACGATATGGTAAGTGTGATAAGGTGGACCTCAAAGAATATGAGTTCCATTATTGGGGCTGTTAATCGGATCCAAACAGGAAGCCCTGGCAAACAGATATAAACAGGAGTGTCAGAGGTTCTGTTCACTCTGAGAGCTGACTCTGAGGAAGCTGGATCAGTGTCAAGGATTCTCCACATGTAAAGAAGGGGTGACTTGATAATGGGATACCAGCCTCTGTGGAGTTTTTTCAAGCAGGTCAGAAGAATGAACAGAATATAAAAAGAAGCTTAGAATGACTAAAAAAACTTCCTCAAAAGAGGGAAAAAAAGAGAATGAGAGAAAGTGAGCTATAAAAATAAAGACAGGTGGTAAGATTTTCTGTGAATATTTAAGACAGAAAAGTTAATAAAGTGAGCATCAGTTTTATGAAAATCAGTCCAAGGAATTAATAATAGTAAAGGAGAAGATATCAAATGAATTGAGCATGTATTTTTAATAGGTGTTTACTATAGGAAAAGTAACATTTCAGAAACATATGCAAATCAGGAAATAGAATGAGGAAAGGAATTCAAGAAAATTGCAACTACCAGGGAAGTGGTACTGAGCAAATTGATGAAGCTGCAGGCTGACAAGTTCCCAGGGTCATGATGGACTTTATTCTAGGGTCTTAAAAGAAATGGTTAATGAGATGGTTGCTGTGTTAGTTTTAATTTTCCAAAGTTTCAGGGAAAGTTCCAGTAAATTGGAGAAGTGGAAGTATAACTCTTTTGTTCAAAGATGGAGGAAGACAGAAAGGAGGAAATTACAGGCCAATTAGCTTAGCATCTGTAATAGGGAAGATGTTAAAAGCTAATATTAAAGACCTTACTATAGGGGAATTAAAAAATTACAAGATAATCAAGTAGAGTCCACATGGTTTTATGAAAGGGTTAATGTACTAAACTGATTACTGGAGTTTTTTGAGAACTTAAATGGTCTCTGGATACAGGATAAACCAGTGTACGTACTGTACCTAAATTTCTGAAGATATTTTACAATGTGCACCTCAAAGGTTATTGCAGAAAATAAAAGCATCATGCAGTTGGGAGTTACATGTTTGGCATGGATAGAAGATAAGCGAGCTAACAGAAAACAGAGAGTAGGAAAATAATGGTTTGTTCTCTGGTTGGCAAAAAATTGATTGCTTTATAATTGGAAAAATATGGCGATTGGTGTGCCACAGGAATCACTGCTAGGACGTCAAAGTTTTAGAACTTTCCATAGATGACTTGGATAAAGGAACCAAAGACACGGTTGCTATATTTGCTAAAGATGCAAAGAAAGATATGAAAGTAATTTGTGAGGAGGATATAAGGAGGGTAAAAAATGATACAGGTAGGTTAAATAAGTAGGCAAAGATTTGACAAACAGAGTCTAAAGTGGGAGAAAGTGCAATTGCCCATTTTAGTAGGAAGAATGAAAAAAAATTATGTAAGTGGTGAGATGTTGCAGAGCTCTGAGATGCAGAGGGGTCTGGGTGTATTTGGAAAGGATGATCAGATTCATGGGAAAATTTAAATTGAGAGATCGCTTTTTAAAAAATAAGGAGTTGCCTATTTAAGCTAGAGGTGGGGAGACTACTTCCTTTTCTTGCAGAGGTTGTGCGTATTTGGAACAGTTTTCTTCCAAAGGTGGTGGAAGCAGAGTAATAGAATATTTTTCAGGCAGAATTAGATGGATTCCTGATAAGCAAGGGCATGAAAGGTTTTGGGCTAGGTGGAAATGTGGAGTAATCAACTATGATCTTCTTGAATAGAGGACTAGGCTCAAGGGGCCAAGTGGCCTCATCATGCTCCTAATTCTAATATTCATATGAATTGTGCTTTCTTTATTCTTTTACAGGATGTGGACATCAATGGCAAGGTCAGCATTTGCTGGCCATCCCTAATTGCCCTTCAATTGAATGGCTTGCTTAGCTATTTCAGAGACAGTTAAGAGCCAACCACATTGCTCTGGATTTAAAGTCACATGTAGACCAAATCGGACAGGGCAGCCAAGTTTTTTTCCCCCACGGATATTAAATCTAATTATGGCATGAGGAAACTGTCTTCGGAAACCATGAAGCCAAAATTCACTGTTCTTTCCAAGCATGCTCTATATCATTTCAAATAACTCATACATCATATCAGAACCAGAAATACGTGAGATCAGCAGGCAAACCCACCACCAAAATTCCACAAATCACCCAGAAAAATTAACTTCCAGAGTGACAAATCAAAGAAAAGTCAAAGCTGATGTAGAAATCAACAAAAATCGTGGGGACCTGCTCTCCCAATCACAGGTTTTTTTTTCTTCCCCCTCACAACTGAGGCTATCAGCAATAAACCCAGGACAGAAACGACTTTGTGACAGGGAAAACAGTGTATGGTAAGCAAAGTAAATATTAGTAGTGAGGGAGTTGCCAGGGAGCAATGTCTGGGATCCAGCTGCCTTGTACCCCAAACCCCTTCTGAGGGGCAGTGGACGTTTTGAGGCTGCAAGTTGTGTGCAGGAAGGCAGGTAGACTGCAAGAACTAGGGGCTGATTAAGAGTTTGAAGGGGAAATGGGTCTGACAGGGAGGCTGAAAAAGCAGTGAATATTATTATAATTAATACTATTATGTTATAATTAATATCAATAGTTATAATTAAATCTGAAACTGAATCTGACATACAGCAAAAAGGATAGTAACTACCTGGTTAAAATCTTCTAACTGCGTACATATGTGATGGAAAGTACATATGTGACGAAAAGGCATTAACTGTGGCCTCACCAGTCTATTGAAGGCAACATTTTTTTGTGAGTACAAGTGTGTGTCAGTGATTTTGAAAAAGAACCCCAGTAGCTGACATATATCTGATCTCTTGTGCCAACTTAAACACTGCAAAGAAATTAACGCTTTCTTTGTGTGTTGCGACTTTAAATTCAGTTGAGTGTTAGTAGTTAATAACGGCATGGACGAATATTTCTAATTCTGCTTTTGTGTTTGTGTGAGTTAAAATATTCCAAATGGCAAAATCAAATACAAATGTTGCTACGTGACCAAAATACCATCAAATTAACCAGTGAGAATGAAAAGTAGCCTGTGAACACCAAAAAGTAGAGGCCAAAACTCAAAAAATCACCCTGAAGAGAAGCCCTCAACAAAATTATTTTGTGACGTGTGTTGTGTGTTTGATTGACAAGGGTTTCAAAGAGAACAAAGGCAGGAAATTGGAGTTATGATCACAATTCTGAAAATGAGTTTGAGGAGCTGAATGACCTCCTCCTGCTCCTAATTCATTGTTTGATTGTCAAAATATAATTGTCTGGAAGAAATCTGATTTTCATTTGACTGAAACAATGCAAACTGCTTCCATTGTTTCCATCAATGGTCCACTGACAAGTATTTGCTCTCTTAAATACTATGAGGATATAACAGATGAATTGGGGCAGAAGGTTAGTTAAGGTAAGTTATTTTTTCAATTTTGAGTACAACTCTATTCCAATAAGCCTGGGTTTACAGAGGTGCATTTAGATGTCAGCAAGTAGTCTCCTCACTACACACAAGACACTTGTCAAAACAATTAACCTTTCTTGGAAGATGGTAAAAAGATCTTTCAACATTTAATTTTACTTACTTTTAAATTTAAATTTAACACAACATTCCCATAACTTGAAAATGCAGCAACTAAATAAAGGTAAGAAGGCTTCTTATCCAGCAGCTAATTGTCTTTCCGTACTGCTTATGAGCCAATAGGAACAGGAATGCTTCAGTATAGTTCTTAAAGGAAACCTGCTTTCCTCCTTATAATCTGCTTCACCACAGTATAACCACTGCCAGTTGCATGATCCTTCCTAAACTTTTCTAAGCATAATTTCCTCCTTGATCTGCCACACAAATTTTCCCAAAACCTTCCACCTACAATGCCTCACAACATTCTGTCCACAACTGCCCAATGACCTTTCACCCAACAACCTCCCCATGACCTTCCACCTACAACAACAAACAGCTCCCTAAACCTCCATCCCCAAACTTTTTTCTATTATCCCTACCCCAAACCCCACATTCTACTTTCCTTCCATGATTTCCCTGCCAATACTTTCTGCTCTCTGATTGCACTGGCCATCCCAGTTAACCAGACTCTTAAACTGGCTAACTGCTGGCTAGAAATGGGAGAAAAATAATTAGTTGAGGTTGCTGCTGTTAAATTAGTCAGAACCTTTATATTAATTGTATACTCAACTTTCCTGGCTGCTTCTATCATTCCCTGTGTAAATATTGGGGCCATTATTTCCAGAGCCGGATTGGAGTTTGGAGTTTAAAACTGGGGAAACCTTGTTACAACTGTACAGGGTGTTTGTAAGGCCACACATAGAATACTTTGTGCAGTTTTGGTCCCTATGTCTAAGAAAGAATATACTGACTTTGCGAGCTGATTCCTGGGATCAACAGGCTGGCTTAACAAGGGCAACTCTACATGTTAAGCCTTTATTCTTTGCAGTTTAGAAGAATGAAGGACGATCTTATTGAAACATACATAAGATTTTTGCGTAGGCTTGACACAGTAGACATTGAGAAGATGTTTCCATCAGTGGAGCAATCTCAAACTAGTGACATGGTCATAGAATTAGGCCAAACTCATTTAGGACAGAACGTCAAAGAATTAATTCTCCAAGAAGGTAGTGAATGTCTAAAATTCTCTACCCCAGGGAGTTGTGAAGACAAGATCACTGAAAGTATTTAAAGAGGCAATAGTTAGATTCTTGTGGATTTGAGGGCTTTGAACGAGGTGTTGTGACTTGGGTCAAATGAGCCATGGCATTATAGAATAGCAGGTCAGGTTTGAGGGCACAATCGTCCGACTCTTGGACATATTTCTTCCATTTTTACTTCAAGTACAAGTTTTTATCCTCTGGTTCTAATGTTTTGGACAATATAACGTAAGTTCTCATACATACCACTTTAGAATTCTCAGGCACTGTCGTTTGATAGGGAATGTTCAGAAATATAGGATCCAAGTCAGATACATCTTCTACATTAATAAGTGCAAATGTAGTGGTATGCTGAACGATAAATGTTCCATTGTACAGTCCACCATAGTCCTTTCAAACAAGAAGTAAATTATTTGTAGCTCAAACAAATAGAATAAGAAAGAAGATATTTCAGTAGAAATAAATTTAACTTACTGAAGCCTTGATCTGTAACTGATAAAATGTGCTTTTCTCTGTGTAACTCAGTGTACCATTCAAAATAACTTTTCCACCTTGTTGAATTTCAAAGAGATAAGGGGCATGTGGGAGTACCTGTAACAGGGTAAGAAGTAGAGCTTATTCAGCAATCTGAAGTGACTTATGAGTTATTGCGACGTGATACATGCAATGTGTGGAACCAGTCATATAACACAACAGAAACAAGGTCATAAATCCTCAGTTGGCCCTATGTGTGGAGTTCCATTTACACACTAGCACTGGTGATGAAAGTTACTATACATTATTATGAAAATAAAAAAAAGCGTTTAAGAGAAAATAATCACAAACCAGAGACATTTATCCTATATTTAACTGTTAGATTCCATAAAGATATTGAAATTGAGTGAGGCAAATCTGTTGCTATATTACTGCAGGAATATGGTGCACAGATGTTAATGTGCTTGCAGCCTCATCCTCTAATGTAGACATTTCTTTTAGGTTGTTAATAACATTAATGGATTAGTAAAGGAAAAATCTGCTGTTTAATGAAATGTTCATACTGGAATATTTCCCCTATTTGCAGCTTTGATATTCCAAATTCAGGAATAACATGGTAAGAAGTCACATGACACCAGGTTATAGTCCAACAGGTTTATTTGAAGTCACAAGCTTTCAGCGTGCTGCTCCTTCGTCGTCTGACAAAGGAGCAGAACTCTGAAAGCTTGTGACTTCAAATGAATCTGTTGGTCAATAACTTGGGGTCATATGACTTCTGACTTTGTTCACCCAAGTCCAAACCGGCACCTCCACATCACAGGTATAACATGGCTGCAGATGGAGCGTGCCATGTTTATTAGTTTGGAATGCCTTCACAAACTCAATGAAGATAAATTATTTATGCAGAGGGATGGCCTCCTTTGCCTTTCAGCTTTTCCATCTCTCTTTCTAAATCAAAGATTGACCATTTAATTTTGTAGCTGAGGGCCCAATTCTTCCCAAGCTACAATTTGATCGCGTCAAATAGCAGTTCGCTCAAGTTGACTACTGTTCAAAAGTATTTTTAAAAGGGCACGTTACAGCAAACTCAGGAAGTCTGAAACAATACATAATACAAATTATATTAGATCTGCTGCAATTTCTCACATTTCACATAATTAATACTTACTCCCACAATCTCATACCGTACTGTTCCAGCAGGCCCTTGGTCTCTGTCCTTTGCTTTAACAGTAAATAATACTGCACCTTTAGTTTCATTCTGTCCAACAAGAAGATGCAGAATTACTTATTTCATTAAATGATAATTAAGAGAAAGCCTGAGACCTTATAAATTTAGCTTGCTAATAACACATTTCTATAGAGAATTGAATCAATTTTCAACCTTCTACTGTCTGAAAGTTATATCTTAATTATAATTATAAAATAATTATAGAGTAAATAAGTAAATATCATTGCATTGCATTCAAAGTTTGACGAGTATTTGGCACAATGACTGGAAGAACTCAAAAAGTGATTCCTTGTTGCAGGGAGGACAACAGCTAAAGGGGATACCATTTTAGAGGAATTTATTTTATACTGGATCCACAATGCCAGATTAGAGGTTTGGGGACCGCTTTGCAGAACACCTACGCTCGGTTCACAACAAACAACTACACCTCCCAGTCACGAACCATTTCAACTCCCCCTCCCACTCCTTGGACGACATGTCCATCCTGGGCCTCCTGCAGTGCCACAATGACGCCACCCGAAAGCTGCAGGAACAGCATCTCATATTTCGCTTGGGAACCCTGCAGCCCAAGGGTATCAATGTGGACTTCACAAGCTTCAAAATCTCCCCTCCCCCGACCGCATCCCAAAACCAGCCCAGCTCATCCCCGCCTCCCTAACCATTCCTCCCACCCCCAGCCCCACCCCCATCTCCTACCCACTAACCTCATCCCACCTCCTTGACCTCAGCACGGTGGCACAGTGGTTAGCACTGCTGCCTCACGGCGCCAGGGATCCAGGTTTGATTCCAGCCTCAGGTGACTGTGTGGAGTTTGCACATTCTCCCCGTGTCTGTGCGGGTTTGCTCCGGTTTCCTCCCACAGTCCAAAGATGTGCAGGCTAGGTGGACTGGCCATGCTAAATTGCCCATAGTGTTCAGGGATGTGTAGATTAGGTGGGTTATAGGGGGATGGATCTGGGTGGGATGGTCTGAGGTTCAGTGTGGGCTTGTTGGGCTGAAGGGCCTGTTTCCACACTGTAGGGATTCTATGATTCTATGATTCTATACCCCACCTACATTCACCTTTACTGGCTCCAACCCCACCTCTTTGACCTATCTTCTATCCGCCTCCCCCTCTCTCCCTATTTATTTCAGAATCCCCTTCCCCTCCCCCATTTTTGAAGAAGGGTCTCAACCCAAAACGTCAGCTTTCCTGCTCCTCTGATGCTGCTTGGCCTGCTGTGTTCATCCAGCTCTACACCTTGTTATCTCAGATTCTCCAGCATCAGCAGTTCCTACTATCTCTCTCCAACAATTACTGTCTGTATGACTTACAAGCATACAAAACTGGTGGACAAGAAAAGTCCAGTTGATCTATCAAGTCTGCCTTACAGCAGAATTTATTTGCTCCTTTCCCCTTTTCATCAGATGCAAACTCACTTTCATATTAACTTTGTGGCATGACGCCTTTCTCCAGAAAACAGTTAAAGTATTACTGAGATCTGATTATAGCCATGCTCCAACTGGAACATACAGCATTTGTTCTGTTCGTTCGTTATCAGTCATGCCCAGTAATCTGAGGTTACCGTGCACAAAATACCAATATGATTGAGATGAATGCTTCACTCGAGTTATCTCTGAAGATGAATATCAAGATGGCAAGAAATAATTTGCTAAAGCAGTACTCGATTGGGTTGTGTAGGTGGCCAAAACTTCACACATTATTATAGTACATGTTCACTATAAAGCGGATTTGACAAAGCTATTAGTCTTCCCCTATTTCTGTATTTGAAGAGCTCTAAGTTAGAGATTCTATAGCCAAGTGAAGTGACTTTTGCTGTTGTTCAATAGTTAACTTTAACAAACCTAGACCATAGTTTATAGACTGACAAAATTTGATTAAATTACTAATCTAATATTAGGAACAGGAATAGGCCATCCAGCTCATCCACTGTATTCCAACATTCCAACACTGCAGCTCAACTGAATTTTCCTGCTTTTGCTCCATATCCCTTGACATCCTTAACTAACACAAATCTAATGATGTCCTCAGTGTTCCAATGTCAAAAAGTGAAAATAAGAAAATAAGTGTCAATTCAGAAGTCAATTAGACTTCAACTTCAACTTCCGTAATAGGTGATTTCAATAGAAAGGTGACTTCAACTTCCCTGATATCAACTGGAACCTCCTAAGTACAAATAGTTTGATGGAGCAGATTTTGTTAGGTATGTCCAGGAAGGATTTGTGACTCAATATGTAGATAGGCCAACTAGAGGGGAGGCCATATTGGATTTGGTGCTTGGCAACAAACCAGGCCAGGTGTCAGATTTCTCAGTGGGAGAGCTTTTGGTGATAGTGATCACAACTCTTTGACCTTTACTATAGTCATAGAGAGGGATAGGAGCTGATAATATGGAAAAGTATTTAATTGGGGGAGGGGGAATTACAATGCTATTAGGCAAGAACTGCGGACATAAATTGGGAACAGATGTTCTCAGGGAAATGCACAACAGAAATGTGGAAGTTGTTTAGGGAGCACTTGCTATGAGTGCTGGATAGGTTTGGCCCACTAAGGCAAGAAACAGATGGTGAGGTGAAGGAACTTTGGATGATAAGACATGTGGGATATCTAGTTTGGGGGAAGTAAGAAGCTTACTTAAGAATGAGGAAGCAAAGCTCGGACAGGGCTGTAGAGGGTTACAAGGTAGCCAGGATGGAACTGAAGAATGGACTTAGGAGATCTAGAAGGGAGTATGAAAAAGCCTTGGCAGGTAGGATTAAGGAAAACCTCAAGGCGTTCTGTATTTACGTGAGGAACAAGAGGATGGCCAGACTGAGGGTAGGGCCGATCAAGGATAGTGGATGGAACTTGTGTGTGGAGTCGGAGGAGGTAGGGGAGGTCCTTAATGAATACTTTGCTTCAGTATTCACCAGTGAGAGGGACATTGTAGTTTGTGAGGACAGCATGAAACAGGCTGATATGCTCGAACAAGTTGATTTTAGGAAGAAGGATGTGCTAGAAATTTTGAAAATCATGAGGATAGATAAGTCCCCTAGGCCAGAAGGGATATACCCAAGGTTTCTACGGGAAGCGAGGGAAGAGATTGCTGTGCCTTTGGTGATGATCTTTGCGTCCTCACTGTCAACTGGAACAGTACCAGATGGTTGGAGGGTGGCAAATGTTATTCCCTTGTTCAAGAAAGGGAATAGGGATAATCCTGGGAATTACAGACTAGTCAGTCTTACTTCTGTGGTAGGCAAATTATTGGAGAGGATTCTGAGAGATAGTATTTATGATTATTTGGAAAAGCACAGTTTGATTAGAAATAGTCAGCATGGCTCTGTGAGGGGCAGGTCATGCCTCACAAGCCTTATTGAATTCTTTGAAGATGTGACAAAACACATTGATGAAGGTAGAGCAGTGGATGTGATGAATATGGACTTTAGCAAGGCATTTGATAAGGTTTCCTACGGTAGGCTCATTCAGAAAGTAAGGAGGCATAGGATTCAGGGAAATTTGGCTGTCTGGATACAGAATTGGCTGCCCAGTAGAAGACAGAGGGTGGTAGTAGTTGGAAAGTATTCAGCCTGGAGCTCAGTGACCAGTGGTGTTCCGCAGGGATCTGTTCTGGGACCTCTGCTCTTTGTGATCTTTATAAATGACTTGGATGACGAAGTGGATGGGTGGGTTAGTAAGTTTGCCAATGACACGAAGGTTGGTAGGGTTGTGGATAGTGTTGAGGGCTGTTGTAGGTTGCAACGGGACATGGACAGGATGCAGAGCTGGGCAAAGAAGTGGCAGATGGAATTCAACCTGGAAAAGTGTGAAGTGATTCATTTTGGAAGGTCAAATCTGAATGCAGAATACAGGGTTAATGGCGGGATTCTTGGCAGTGTGGAGGAACAGCGGGATCTTGGGGTCCACGTCCATAGATCCCTCAAAGTTACTACCCAAGTTGATAGGGTTGTTAAGAAGGCATATGGTGTGTTGGTTTTCATTGGCAGGGGGATTGCGTTTAAGAGCTGCGAGGTTATGCTGCAGCTCTGTAAAACCCTGGTTAGACCACACTTGGAATATTATGTTCAGTTCTAGTCGCCTCGTTATAGGAAGGATGTGGAAGATTTAGAGAGGGTGCAGAATAGGTTTACCGGATGCTGCCTGGACTGGAGGGCAGGTCTTATGAGGAAAGGTTGAGGGAGCTAGGGCTTTTTTCATTGGAGCGAAGAAGGATGAGAGGTGACTTGATTGAAGTGTACAAGATGATGAGAGGCATAGATAGAGTGGATAGCCAGAGACTTTTTCCCAGGGCAGAAATGACTATTATGAGGGGGCATAATTTTAAAGTGTTTGGAGGAAGGTATGGGGAGGTGTCAGAGGTAGTTTCTTTACCCGGAGTATAGAGGGTGCATGCAATGCGCTGCCGGCGGTGGTACTGGAGTCAATACATTAGGGACATTTAAGCAACTTTTGGATAGGCACATGGATGATAGTAAAAATGCAGGGTAGTTTGATCTTAGAATAGGATAATAGGTTGGCACAACATCATGGGCCGAAGGGCCTGTACTGTGCTGTACTGTTCTATGTTCTATACTCTATAGTAATAGATGCTCTCTGGAAAAATTTATCTTACTAGATGGTGTGCATGTAAGCACACATTCAGGTTTGTGGAAAGTGAGGATTCACCCAAGAAAGGCAGTTGTCTACTCATAACAGACAATTAAATGAGTAAATCCTGAAAATGGAACAGTATTTTTAAGCATGATTTTTCCCTCTCACATTATCAACCCTGTGGCATCTTAGAGTCAAATTTTAATAAATGAATTAGCTTTATTCTCGCGTGTACTCACACTGAGTATAGTGAAATGTTTACAAATCATCACTTACGGCACCATCTTAGGTATGAAGTTACCTAGGTACAGATTCTTGAGTACAAATTCTTCAGAAAAAAAATTAAAAACTGGAAGTGACTCACCTCATAAACAGATACTTTGTATGGAGCATTTAGAAATATGGGTGCATTATCATTGGCATCTTTAAGAATGATTGTTTGTTTCTGGAGATCAAATAAAGAAATACATTTTTAATGTCAAAATAGATTATAAAACTTCACATTCATTTCACATCGAGAATGAGAAATTAAACTTAAATGAGACCACTGACATAGACTTTCAATAAACGTGTTATATTTGGCTTCAGAATAAAAGATGGAAAATGCATCCAAGAATAGTAGAAAAGCAGAAACCAAAGAACGCAAGTAACTTAAAATAACCATTATCACTAGTGAAAACTAACAAGATTAAAAACTGATTAAAGCCTTCTCTGGATTTGTTGACCGATATCCTAATGGCTAAGAGAGAGTGAGTACATTATTTGTAACCTTCCAAAACTCCCTAGAGCTGGTAAAGTCCCAGTGGATTAGAAAACTACAAATGTGCTATCTCTGATTCAAGAAAGGAGAGAGATGAAAACAGAAAACTACCGGCCAGTTAGTCTAATATTTGCTGTTCAGAAAATGTTGGAATTCATTATTAAGTAGATAATAAAAGGACTTTTAAATAATCATAAATCGCTCAACCATAGTCAACTTGGTTTTGTGAAAGGAAAATCAAGTTTAGTAAAATTAATGTTAGTATTAATGTTCTTTGAGAATATAATGAGTAGGGTAACTAAAACGGCAACAGGAGATTATTTGAATTTCCAGAAGGCAGCAATAAATTTTCATAGACAGTTACTGCACAATATGAGGGCTCATATTGCTGTGGATGACATTGCCATGGGTAGAGAATGATTAACTAATGGGAAACAGAGATCTGGGATAATTGGAGAATTTTGAGGTTGACAAACTTTAATGAGTGACAAGGCAAAGAGATAAGTAACTATTGCAAGTGTATTAATGAATCAGATGAAGAGACTGTATTGGAGGCAAATTTTCTGAAGGTACAAATATCGGTGAGAAAGTACGTTATGCATAGAATACAAAGAGTCTGCAAGGGGACACAGATAGATCAAATTTGAATGGGTAAAATTTGGTGGGTGTTGTATAATGTGGAAAAAATTGAATTTGTCCACTATGGCAGCGAAGTAGAAAAGTGGAATAGTAATTTGTTGGAGAAATACAGCAGAATGCTTCAGTACAGAGAGATTTGGCTGACCTTGTGTATGAATCCCAAAAATATAGCATGTAGATATAATAAGTTATTGCAAAGAGAATGAGGGAAATGGGGCATGAAAGTAGGGATCTTTTGCTATAACTGTACAGTACATTAGTCTCTTAAGGAGGGATGAAGGGGTTGTCTCAAGAGTGATAGATCCATTCAACATAGAAACAGACCATTCAATCCAACTTGTTCATGCCAACCAAGCTTCCCAAATTAAACTAGTCCCACTTGCCTATATTTGACCTATATCCCTCTAAACCTTTCCTGTTCGTGTACCTATCCAAATGTCTTTTAACTGTTGTAACTGTACCTGCATCCATCACTTCCTCTGGCAGTTTGTTCCACATACAAACCACCCTTTGTGTGAAAAAGTTGCCCCTCAGGTCCCTTTTAAATCTTTCTCCTCTCACTCTAGAAATATGCTTTCTAGTTTTGAAATCCCCCACTCTAGGGAAAAGACGTTTGCTATTCACCTTATCTATGACCCTCATGATTTATAAACCTCTATAAGGATTGAGCAGGTTGGCTTTATCCATTGGAGTTTACAAGAGTGAGTTGATCGTACTGAAATCTGTAAGATTTTGAGGTGCTTCACAGATACGATCAGACGGTCCCAACAATGGGCCACATGGTATTCTGGTCATTTGGGATTGCACGTTCAGAGACAGCAATGGTCACTGTCAAGGAGAAGCTTGAACACACGCACCAGCAGGTTCAAGAACAGCTTCTTCCCTGCCATTATTAGATTGATGAATAGGCTCTTTAGCTTCAAACAATGCTGATCTTGTCAATGTTGATCTTGCCTTGCACGCGTCCTGTGCGGTGTAACCTGTATGTCTCATTCTGTCCAAGTTTTTTCACACTAAAATCTGTATGGCCTAGTTTACCATGATCTGCCTGTACTGCTTGCAAACAAAGCTTTTCACTGCACTTAGGTACACATGACAATAAATCAAATCAAACCAAATCAAATCAAATCAAATCATATCATATTCTGACTAAGATGTGAACTTTTCTTTTAACCTAAGCAGTTTGTCAATGGCACAACTTTTCACTGCTCTGATCGATTGTTCTTTCAATGTCCTGATTGGCTGTTCCATTCAGCATTCTGATTGGCTAATCAGGGACTTCCTTGGATGCATTCAGTATGGAGGAGGTACTTTGAATACAATATGATGAATGATTGGACAGTCCTGATATCTATGCTGAGGTTCAATATTTCTCAATACCATCAGAATCTTCATACATATTCCAGACAAAAAGACCTACTCCTGCCCATCAACCCAGTCCCCACCCTCCTCCAATCCCCTGTTTTCCTCTCGCCACCCCCTACCCCCACCAAATGCCCACTTAACAATTTCCTTCCCGCCCCCCCCCCCCCCTCATTATGTGGCTGTGCCAATTTTTAACATTCAAATGGGATCATAGTGGGAAAAGTTTGGGATGCATTGGAATGGATGAAAAGAGAACGATCCCCCTTGTTGGTTAATCTAGAATTAAGGGTAAAATTTCAAAACTAAGGGATTGCCTACTTCAGACAGAGCTAAGAAAGAATTTCTTCTCTAAGAGGGATGTTAGCCTTTGGAATTCTCTTCAGCAGAGAACACTGGATGTAGGTCATTGAATATAGTCGCTGAATTATGCAGATTTTTAATCACCAAAGGAGTCAACTGTATGGGACCATGCAGGGAAAAGAAGGTAAGGCTACAGTAAGTCAGACATAACCTTATTAAATGTTGGAGCAGGCTCAGTGGGTTGAATGGCCTATTTCTGCTCCTATTTCGTATGATCTTATTCTTAACGTTGGTCCTTTTAACTTATTCACTCAATTCAATTTTTCAACATATTTAAACATTTTCTCATTAAATAACTGGAACAAAACTCACCAAGCTGGTCTTATCTCTTCCATTAGTAGCACTAATAGTAATACTCAAAGTAGATTTAACCTAGTATTAAATATTGAAGAGAACAAATTAGCTCGAGCACAAAATACAACTTCCAACAGTATTTATTCATAAAATTAAAATGACAAACCCTCTCAAAAAATATTGTGTGTGGATGGGTAGGAGTTTCTGAAAAAAGCACAAAATCTATCATTTCTGTACACATAGGACCTAATGCCTGTTCCAAGTTTGAGTAAAGAACATATATTATTTGTCCTTAGCCATTATTGTGAGGAGGACTCTTTGGACAAAACATAACCACCAGAAATAGTGGTCATTGCCCTAAATGCACAAAGCGAGAGAAGCATCACTGCCACTACCCTTGGAATAAGGTAAATGGGATATGGATCACTGGACCCACCGAGCTAAGTAGGATAATTGGTGAGGTGTGGGTGGACCATGAAGCGAGAGCAGCTATTGCAGTTGACAGATGCAGATCCTGGACAGTTCCACCCACGTCCTCCCCAAACCTACATGAAGATTACCAGAGATAGTAGGAACTGCTGATGCTGGAGAATCTGAGATGACAAGGTGTAGAGCTGGATGAACACAGCAGGCCAAGCAGCATCAGAGGAGCAGGAAACCTGATGTTTCGGGTCTAGACCCTTCTTCAGAAAATGGTTCAGATAATTATTGAAGATTACCAGAGTTTTTCAGGAAGCTTCCCCATGTGACGGAAGATGAAAACTACCAGCATTAACAGGAAGCTGCTTTTTTTTTAACCACTTGAATGGCTTAATTAGCCTCTACGGTAAGAAGACCATCTTCCATATTCTCCAGAACTGGCAAAATACCATAGCAGTGGGAAGGCAACAAGAAGGTTAGACCCCATACTCTATACTGATTCTTTTGCTCCCAACTAATTATCAACAGCCTCTTATCCTGCTCCTTCAGGGTATGTAAAATTCTGGCCACTGAGTAATTACAACTCAGTCTAATCTTATCCTCTCTGATAATTGATACAAGCAATGTTCCCCTCATTACTTTAGAGGTATTGGGATCAATGCTCACTCTGCACCATCTTTCCAACTGAGTTCAGCTCACTCAACTTCTATCGACAGACAACTATGTGAATCCAGTGAGAATTGTTCACTTCCTTCCAAGTGACAGACAGCGACACACACACGCACGTGCACACACACACACACACACACACACACACACACACACACACACACACAGGACTGTACATTTTTATTCAATTATTTTTTGAAGTTCTGCATTCTGTTAACATAATATCCTTCACAGCATTACTCGATCCTTGCATGAGAGGATTGAGTAACAAATCACAAGCATACAAACAATGTTAAGCATCCCTGAATTCATTGAAGTGGTTTTTAAGGTAAATCAAAACAGTGAATCATTGTTCGGATTTGGAACTAAAGGTCTTGTGATTTACAATTCAAACTGCATTCCTTCGAAATTACCTCTCGGTCCAAGTCACGTGCAACTGTGACAATGCCTGTGTTACTATCTAACTTGAAGAATGTAGAATCCACTCCAGACATAGCGTAGTTTAATGGGTCATTACTGGGGTCAGATGCAATAATCTTATATGCTACTGCACCTAGAAAAAAACAATAGAATTAACTATCACACATTATCTCCTTTTCTCAAGTGTGAAAAATATCATAAATATTCTTACATTAAACACAAAGTTGTGTTTCGCAGCCTCAGTGAAAAAACAAGACAGTGAATGAAATTTAAGGACATATAAATGGGCATTGTAATTGGAATAGAGGAGTAGATTTTTCTCCAGGGGTGTTTGGTTCAGAAGCCTGCCAATAGCTAATCTTTGACCAGCCAGCTGCCAGTAATTTGCAAGAGACCTGTTGATTTTGGATCATGACAATATTCACCAGAGCAAAGCGGGAAGATCCATTCCAAATGCAGCAGAAAATCAGTTTCTTTCTGCTCAATAGTATATAAAAATGAGATTGAGTGCAGGGCAGGGAGTGCATTGTGACGGAATGGAATCATTGCAAATTTGGTGACCAAGCAAATTCAGTAAAGAAGGGAGGGAGGTGTATTATTTCTTGATATGTTTTTATCTTTGTTAGCCCCCAGCAGACCCCACAGTTTAAGAGTAGCACATGAGGACTGTGTTATGTTTTAAGTCAAGCAGCAACATCACAAGAGAACTGTAATTTTGTCAATCTCTAATCTTCAATTTAAAATCAATATTGCAAAAGTAATCTTAAGTTATAGCACACAGCTTGGTCAGTCAGGATACTCATCATGAGGAACGTAGAGAATCACGGACACTTTGTGTGACATAGATGACGACATGAAGGAAATGTTACACTGCATGTTTGTGAATGCATGGACGTAGAAAATAAGATTGGTGAGTTACAGGCATAGCTTGCCATGTGGAATTAGGTTTAGAATGATGATGAAAAGAGCAACAGAAAATCCAGAGGAAGAATAACTAACTAGGGGAGAGCCAACTTCCATGTGACAAGAAGATTTGGCTGGGAGAACTATTGCTGAACAATTGGCTACCTTCCCCAAAATGAATATAATTTGGACACATGAAAATATATTCCCTCAAAACAGAAAGGTGAGGCAAATAAATCCAGAGTTCCCTGGATAGGAACAGAAATTAAGATAATGAAGAAGAAGTAAGGTCATTACAGAGGTCAGATAGAAAGTACAATTGAGAACCAAGCTAATTCCTCTTGAAGCTTAACTAGTATGAGTTATCTCAGCTGACCTCAGCTCTATTAAAGAGAGGGTCTGTTGAAAGGCTCTGTGATCAGTAAGCTTCACATAATCAGGAAGGAAAAATCACATTCAGAGTGAGGCACAGCCCAAGTGAGTGTATATTTCGGGGATTTTGGAGTAGTGTGGGAATTCGGTACAGAGGGGGAGAGATGTATTTTCTTACTTTTGGCTCATAATGTGTAATGTCTTTTAACAGGATAAACTGAAGCCCATGATCAGAGACCCAGCATAAGCAAAGAAAAATCATAAATTCATTGGTTGATAATAGCAGCTTATTTGACTATTATAAGTTGCTTTCAGATTAAAGCTAAATAGAAACAATATTTTACAGATTAAAACTAAAAGACAAGTTGGAAATTCCTTTCAAAAAACACAAATTAAGAACTAAGTAAATAAGATGGAGACGCAAAGCCAGGAAATGTGTTGTACCTGCATGATATGGGATCTGGTGGACACTATCGTGGTTCACCCTGGCCATATCTACAGCAAGTGTTAGTTGCATGATAAACTCTGACCTAGAATAGATGATCAGTAGTTTGAGCTTTGAACACTGTGACACATCAGGGAGGGGGTGAGTTACTTGGACTTGCATTTCTGGAGTCAGTCACAACTTTTGCATTAACTACCTTGAATTCAATCAATGATCAAGGATGAGAGGGTTTGACGACAAGTGAAACACAAGAGGTAGTCCTGCAGCAACCTCAACCTAACAGGTTTGAAATCTTGCTCTCTGTGTGGATAAAAGTGAGCCTGTAAGAAGCCATAGATCCAAGATATAGGGAGCCATTCAAGAGTGGGGAGTAAAGAGAAATGTAGTTGTAATCAGGGATAGTAGAGTCAGGGGAATAAACACTGTTCTCTGTGGCCAGGATTGAGATACCAGAAGGCTGTGTCATCTGCCTGGTGCCCAGTTCAGGATATCTCATCTGAGCTACTGAGGAATTTGGAGTGGGAGGGGAAAGATCAAGTTGTCATTGTCCACATAGGTGCCAATGCAAAATGTAGAATGAGGAAAGAGGTTCTGCTGAAGGAATATGAGCAGCTAGGGCCTAAATTAGAAAGTAGAACCAAGAAGGTAATAAGGTAATAATTAGCAACGAGCCAATTGGCTCAGAGTTAACCAAATTAAAGAGGTAAATGCTTAGCTCAAAGATTAGTGTGAGAGAAATGGGCTCAAATTTACTAGTTCTGGGGAAGGAAAGAAGCTCCACCTGAATCATGCTGGGAACTGCGTCCTCACAAATCACATACCAGGGCCACAGACAGGACTTTAAACTAAATAGTGGGGCATTGGGTTCAGTTATATGGAAAATTAGAAAACCAAAGTTACAAGAGAAGTAGGATTGCAGATTAGTGATGGGGCTGATTGTTACAAGGAAGGGGCAGAACGTGGGAATGTCATATTGCACCCAGGAAACATAAAAGTGTAGGGAAATTTGACAATAGAACAAACCTAAGGGCTTTGTATCTTAACGCATGAAGAAATCACAAAAAGGTAGATGAACTGGCAACACAAAATTATGGTAAATATGAACTCATATCCCTTCCAAGGAAATCAAAACTGGGAACTTAACATTCAGAGATATTTGACAGATAGATAGAAGGAATGGAAAAGGTGGTGGGCTATGTGTTAATAGGAGATGAAATGAACACTGTTGTGAGAGATGACCTAGGCTCAATTGATGTAGAGTCCATTTGGTTGGAGGTAAAAAACGGCAAAGTTAAGAGACATTGGTAGGAATAGTGCACCCAGCCCAAACAAGTGCCACTCTATCGGAAAGACCATAAATCAACAATTCATAGGAACATATAAAAAGAGAGCAATAATCATGGGTGACTTTAAACTTCATGTTGAATGGGTTAATCAAATGGAAAGGATAGTTATGACAATGAATACATAGTATGCATTAAGGATGCTTTCTTAGAGCAATATGTCATGGAGCCAACCATGGAACATGTTATGCTGGATCTGGTATCGGGCGATGAGGCAGGTTTAAGAAATGACCTCAGAGTAAAAGATCCCCCAGGAAATAGTGATCTTAACATGATAGAATTTAATATTCAGTTCAAGAGTGAGAAACTTTGGTCGGAAACAACTGTGTTTAACTGAAATAAATGGAATTACAAAGAAATGAGAAGAGAGTTAGCTAAAGTGAACAGGGCCAGTAGATTAGCGGAATGACTGTAAGCAATCAGTGGCAGACATTTAGGGAGGTAATTCATAATTACATTCCAGTAAAGAAGAAAGATTCAAAACGGGAGAAAAATTAGCCATGGCTAACCAAGGAAGTTAAGGACAATATTACGTTGAAAGAAAAAGCATATAAAGAGACAAAAGTCAGTGATAGGTCAAGACTGGAATAAATTCAGAATCCAGCAAAAGAGGGCTAAAAAGATAACAAAGGCAGAGAAAATAAACTATAAGGGCAAACTAGCACAGATTATAAAAACTGACAATTGCTTCTTTAGATATATAAAAAGGAAGACAGAAGCCACAGTGAATATAGACCTCTTAGAAAATGAATCTAGGGACACGATTTTGGGAAACAGGGAAATGGCAGAGAACTTAACATATTTTGCAAAAATCTCTATGGTGGAAGATACTTTAAAAATCCATTAATACTAAAGAATATAGATGAGGAATTAAATACCATCACCATCACTAGAGACTAAGTATTAGACAAACTAATGGGGCTGAAGGCAGGTAAGTCCTTAGCCCTGTTGGCTTGCATCATAAGATTCTAAAAGAGGTAGCTTCAGAAATAATGAATGCATTGGTTGTAATTTTCCAAACTGTAGGCCAAATAGCCTAACATCTATTGTTGGAAAAGCATTGGAATCAATTATTAAGGGTGTAATAGCATAACATTCAGAAAATTGTTATCTAAACAAGCAGAGTCTGCATGGCTGTAAGAAATGAAAATTGTGTCTGACTAATTTATTGTTTTTTGAGGAAATCTCAACCATAGCGGATAGAGGGGAACCAGTAGATGTGTTATATTTGGACTTCCAGAAAGCATTTAACAAGGTACGACACAAAAGGTTAAGTCATTAGATAAGAGTCCATGGTGTTGGATGTATGATATTGTCATGGATAGAGATTTGGCTCATGTGTCGGAAACAGCAAGTAGGGATAAGGGGTATTTTTAGGTTGGCGAACTGTGATCACTGGGTTTCAACAGGGATCAGTGCTGGGACCACAATTGTTTACAATATTTTTAATGACTTAAAGGAAGGAAGCAAGTGTATCCAAGTTTGCAGGCAATATAAAAATAGGTGGAAAGGCAGGTTGTGAGAGGGATGCAAACAGTTTACAGAGAGATATTGACTTTTTCTTATTCATTTGCGGGACGTGGGCATTGCTGACTGGGCCAGCTTTATTCCCTATCACTAGTTGCTGTTGAGAAGGTGGTGGTAAGCTGAACTATTGCAGTCCTGTACATAGACCCACAATGCTTTTAGGGAAAGAATTCCAGGATTTTGGCCCAGTGACAGTGAAGGAACAGTGATATATTTCCAAGTCAGGGTGGTGAATGGCTTGGAGGGGAACTTGCTGGTGGTGTTGTTCCCATGTGCCTGCTGGTAATGTCACTGGATTAGTAATTCAGAAAGCCCATCTCATCTTTCGGAAACATGGTTTCAAATTCCACCATGGGCGATTGTGAAATTTGAATTCAATAAAAGTCTGGAATTTAAATAAATAGAAAGCACATCCATAAGTTTCTTGTGGTGCAATGGTAGTATCCCTATCTCTGAAGTGGGCGATCTGTGTTCAAGTCCCACCTACTCCAGAAGTGTGTAACAGCATCACTGAACAGGTTGATTAGAAAAAAAGAAATAAAGCAGATTCCACCACCTCCCATAATGGGTTTTGCTTGTAAATATTTGGAAAAAAAAATAAAGCAGATATATTGCATCCTTCTGTCTTGTGATTGTCACTTATATTCCATGAACTCCAACTTGGCTCACAAGTCTCATCGATTCTCTCTGATACCTCACCCTCTCTGCTACCTCATTCATCCCTTTATCTTGAAATCAGCAGACAGGCAGACATATGGAAACAATTTTTTTTCAAAGCTATTCACTTATCTATTGACATCATTTTATTTCACAAATCAACATTTACTGGTTATACCTACCTAGGTATTAGGATTTCACACATGGTTTCCTCGTCAACTTTTCTGATAATATAACTTGAGCAATGAAAGCAACTTAACTTTTATACTACAATTCTGGTCATCTTGCAGAGTTCTCGACTTTGAAAGTTTTTCCTCTTCTGGCTTTTGTTCTGAAATAAAACTGATTTCTAATCATATAAATAGTTTGTAACAACAAGCCTACCTCTTGGTGTGTCTTCAGCAACATATACAACCGTCATATTGGAGGCAAATATTGGTGCAGATTTGGCTGAAGTTGAAATTTCAAAAAAAGTAACATTACTTCACAGTATTTTTGCAGCAAATCAAAAGAAATGCAACCAGCTTGCACTTGGTGATAAAAATTAGCCTGAATTTAAATTATAATGATGATTTCAGATAGTACAGTGATTGGAAATTCATTAACAGCCACTTTCACGTTAAAATCAAATGGCTGCAACAACTGACAAACCTAAACTTATGAGCGAAAGGACCACATGCTTTAGGTCCTCTACCATTATCAGGAGCAGACGAGAAGTTTGCAAATACTTCTGCATGGTGCAAGATGCAATTTGACAATCTCAGCAAGGAGCTCAGTCAACTGGGACATCAGCCAAGTCAAGGCCTGGAGGAGGAATACAATTAGAGGTGTGGGGTGACAGCAGCCAGCAACAGCTTGTAATTTTTAGACAGTGCCGAGAGAAACATTCCTGCTCCTCTTAGCTCCATATTCAGGCAGATCCTTTTATGCTTTAGAAACTGACCTGTCGAAATTTAAATAAGCTTTGAAGAGTGTTTTGTCCAATAAAGCAACAAGCATAGGCTCCTTCATTGCACATTTAAAATGGGCCCGTACTGTTTACAAGTGACCAACAGGAATGCCTGAAAGCAGCATGGTCAAATATGACTCCAATCATATTTCTAAAGTAAATCATGTACAAGACCCCAGATGTGATATTGGCCTCATGACTGTCTGAAAAGCTTGCACTGAGCATTAAATTTCTTGACAGCTTCCATTGCAATTTTCTATTTGCATTGTTTCCAAAAACAGCAAGAGCTGAGTTTCTCTCAATTTCTGGCAATACACCACCACTAAATTGTTCCACAGTAAATTTTCTAAAAATTACCAATTTAAATTTAAGATCATACCTTTCATAACTAAGCAAAATCCAAGAAGAAGAATGCATTTTATGTTATGTGATGACATCTTCTGCAAAACAAGATAAATATTACATTTTTTTCATTTAATGCATTACAACTCTAAAAATAGTACAATCAAATGAAAAATTTCAAGTTCTTGTTTTTAAGTAAGGGCTATTTAACAGTCCAATGACTCATTTCACTTTTTTAAAAAAATTACTGTTTCATCATTGAACCATAATGCTTGCCCACTTGGTAGTGATCTCCAACAGCAACAGTGAACCCCTTGAAAGAACACTTCTGGACTATCCATGGCCTGTATGCAACCATTCAATATCAGCAAAGCTACCAATGACTCACATTGTCAAGGCAAGTTGAAGTCAGGCTAAAGGAACTTCATTGAGACATTGCAAGGCTATTGCTTGGCTCTGGGACTATGCCCACAGTAGATAAAACGGCATTTACACTTGGAACATATACTCTATTAGTCAATAGAAACTTTATAATGAGAAACAGAAATTTCATTGAACTTAATGGTTCTTGTTGAACAATTCAAGAACGCATATTAAATATTTATTCAACCTTTAATGTTAAAACAATATGCTTATGTACTTGTGCCGGCTGGAGCAACTTTCTCAGTGGTTAGAACTGTTTCCAGAAAATAGCTGAGCATTTGTTTGGAAACTGACTCATGCAAACCTATGTCTATAGGGTAGAGGTGTAACAAAAGCATGTCTTTGAGTTCTAAACTGGATATTTCTGAAGTCCTCACAGATAATACTCTAATCTCTTTAATCTTCTCAGGTCAAATGGACATGTGGGGGAAAGGGCCAGAGTAAATTATGAAGCTATTTTATTTATTCCAAGGAAGCACACAGAGTAAAAGTTGTGATTAGATCCACAGTCTGTCGGGAGCAGGGGCTACTATGGATACTGCTGCTAGTTGAGAGAATTAACAACAGATGGTAGTTTTACGGCCAAGTAAATGGGGTCAAGGTCACCAGCGACAAGCCCCAATTTGAAGAGTTGGTGAAGTTAACAGGAGCAGCCATTGCCATCGATAATCCCTTCAAAAGCCACAAAGCACCAGATTAGCAACAGTAGAAAGAGGTGCTTAACTGAACAGTAAAGTGGCATAATTGGCCTCTGGACAGGTGGGCTGTCCTCCACATTTCTCTCCGTCAGCAGGATGCCATGGCAATCGGGAGGTGGTGGGTACCCATTACCTACATCTTTCCTTATACTTTAAATAGCCTGCCTCCAATCCCCATCTCTATACTCATGTAAGGCTCATAAAATTCACCCCTCAGTGTACGTGGTGCCCACCTAAGTTTAGACATGTTATAGTTACATATTGGGATCATTAGACAGTTCTGGATCCCAATGTAAAATTGGTTGTTACAGGTCTTCAGTTGCTTAACGAGCAGTCCTCAAAGGAACTGTGAATCAGCCCAGTAAAAGATTAGCAAATTTGTAAAATTAAATTTTGCAAGTCCTTCCACAGACTCCATAAAAAGGCTGAAGATCCATCGTCCAGTCATGTTCAGCTCTCTCCACTTTGACTTTTCCAGATCCAGGGTGATATTGGAGCTGGTTGAAGTTATTTAGGCTATAATAAGCAAATGTTAATGGGTTGTCCATGCTAACTCCTGGTCTATCCTCATATCATGCACGTACAAACACAGTTACTCATAAACAGGCTGAGCAAATGGCTTGGTCACGAAGTACTAGTGAAACTGAGGATGTGGGACTGGAAGAGATTAAGGACACTGTTCCTGTATGAGGTTGGAGAAATTATTACCACCGGATGATCATAGAATCCAAATTGCAGAAGACCAGTCTTCAAAAGAGCAATGAGTCAACTATATCAATCTCTGACATAGGCAGTGGAGATGATTTCCATGCACCCACTCACTGGTACCCAAAACTAGGAGGTAGTACTTCCTGCCCTTATTTTTCCCACAGGAGCGCTGATTTTTTTTTTATTCACTCATGGCTGGCCAGTATTCATTGCCCTTCCCTAGATGCCCGTGTGAAGGTGGTCATGAGCTGCCAACTTGAGCTGCTGCAGTCCATTTTGGTAGGTACACCCACAATGCCCTTAGGGAGGGAATGCCAGGATTTTGACCCAGTGACAGTGAAGGAACGACAATATATTTCCAAGTCAGGATGGTGATTGGCTTGGAAGGGTTCTTGCAGGTAGCGGTGTTCACCCATCACTGCTGCCCTTTTCCTTTTAGATGGAAGAGGTCATGGGTTTGGAAGGTGCTACCTGAGGACCTTTAGCGAACTTCAGCAGTACGTCTTGTTGCTGAGTGTTGGTGGTGGAGAGAGTAGATGTTCAAACGGGCTGCTTTGTTCTGGGTGATGTCAAGCTTCTTGAGTGTTGTCAAAGCAGCATTCATCCAGGCAAGTGGGGAATATTCTATCACGCTCTTGACTTGTGCCTTGTAGATGGTGGTCAGGCTTTGGGAAGTCAGGAGGTGAGCAACTCACTACTTCATTCATCATTTCTGACTTGCTCATGTAGCCATTGTGTTTATGCGGTGAGTCCAGTTGAGTTTCTGGTCAATGTTAAACCCCAGTATATTGATAGCGGGGGATTCAGTGATGTTTTTGAATCAATGAAGTTCTACATTCTTTGCATTGCTGCCTATGGACACAGCTGGTGACTAAATTCATACAAATTCAATACAAATACAATAACATTGCTGAGACTGGGAGTAAAATGGAGAGTGGATTGAAACACCAAAGCATTATTTCTCTAGCAGGAACATACAAACTGAAGTGGGCCATTTTGTCCTTTAAGCCTGTTCCGTCATATTGAACGAGATATAGCCAACACATGACCTAACTCCATATACACACCTTTGCCCAATATTCCACAATAATTTTGGTTAATAAAAACTAAAAAAGCCAGGTTTAAAATTTTTAATTGATCAAATATCAGGTACCATTTGCAGAGAGTCCAAAAGATAGTGGACATAGGTTTAAGGTGAGAGGGGAAAGATTTAAAACACACCTGAGGGGTAACTTTTTGATGCAGAGGGTGGTGCATGGAAGGAGTCCAAGAGGAAGTGGTGAACGCTGGTACAATGACAATATTTAAAAGGCTTCTGGATGGGTACATGAATAGAAAGGGTTTAGAGGCATATCCACCAAATGCTGACAAATGGGACTAGATCAGGTTAGGATGTCTCCTCAGTATGGATGAGTTTGACCAAAGGGTTTGTTTCCATGCTGTATGACTCTGAGAGAGTTTAAAACTTCTATTACACTTGCGTGTAAAAAGTGCTTCCTAATTTCAGTATGACTCTAATTTTTAGACTATGTCTCTTAATACTAGGCCTCCCAAAAATCAGGAATAGGCCTCAGAACATGATTGGGCCAGTTTGCTACTGTGGGCTTCATAATATATAATTACCCAGTGCCCGATTACAGTTATGTAGTGCATTCATACTTTGTGCTGGCTGCTTATCACAACGACTAGAGTGCGCAGCCCAACGTTAAACAAGCTCCTGAGTCTGCACATTTAACAGGATTCGAGCTGTATACTGGGCTAACACAAGTTAAATCTAACCTGCCCCTTTTAAAAGGAATTTTGGCTCCTGAAGTGGCACAAAAGTGCTTTTCACAAGGAATAAAATGTACCAAAGGGCAGAAGTTGAGGAAGAGGGCTCCCATTTTCTCTAAGACTGCACTGGAAAAAGTGAAAAGAGGTCATGTTTCTAAATGGATTACAAAGGTTCTCAAGGGTTATATTAGAAAGGAAGTGGACATAGCCATGGAGGTAAATTCAAGAAATCTGGTCGAGCGGAGCTGGTTGCAATGCTGGCTCATAATGCAAGGCAGGCAAAAAGAATTACCAGCACCTGACAAGCAAATGCCATACCTAAAGGAAAGGTAGCTTTGTGGTGAGACAACACAAGCTGTGGAGAGCGAAAAGCAGAGATGTCAAATAACAATACCCAGGTGCTAGTTTTATCTGTGTTCGCTTTTACCTAAGGATGTAGCCAAAGAGGACACTATGTGCAGCAATGTAACTAAAGGTCAGGCAACTGTGCAGCAAAATTGTCATGAAGTTTCTTCAGCGGAACAAGAGCCTGACAAACCATTCAAAGAGAACCCATTTGAAATGATAGTGTCCGTGATACCTCCTCTTTTCCTCCTCCTCTTAGAATCTCCAACATTTTTTAGCTTTAGAAAGTGTGCTGAGTAATCCTGTTTAGGTCCAAACTGGATAAACACATATTTCCTACTTTGAAATCCATTTACCACAGCTTTATTCATTCACTCAATCTTTTGAAATCCATTGTTGCATTTTGTTAACATCTTTTTTATTAGTTCACATAATATGGCTGTAGCTGGCAAGACCAGCATTTATTTTCCATTCTCAATTGTCCTTGAGATGGTGCTAGAGAGCCACCTTATAAACAGCTAATAGATAACACAGTGTGGTGCTGGAGGAACACAGCAGGCCAGTCAGCATCAGAGGAGTAGGAAAGTTGATGGCTTACTATCTCTGAGTGAGTTATAAACAGTTAAATTCCTTTTGGAATAGTTTCCCCTAGAGTGCTGGTGGAATTTCCATGATTTTGACCCAATAATTCTGAAGAAAGTGATTTATTTCAAATTGAAGATAATGTGTGACTTGATGGGAGTCTCGCTGCTGCGAGCATTCTCACATGTCTGCAGTCCTTGCTTTTGTAGATGGTGGAAGTCACAGATTTGGAAAGTGCTGTCAAAGAAAGCTTGATCAGTTTCTGCAGTGCAGTGTGTCATCAGATATGTTACTCCCTATCCTCTAACTAAGTCGCTTATAAATAGTTAAGGCTCAATAGATTTCTATGGAACAGCACTGATCACATTCTGATAATTAAGAATACCTACCCATTATCCTTAATATCTCTTTCTCCTGCCATTCAGTCAGCTTCCTAGCCAGGTCAATAATTTACTTTCAATTTAGCTGGCAGCTTCTGTAAAGGACTTTATAGAATGTCCTCTGAAAGTCCATAAGTAACAACCATGGACAATCCCCTCTCCACTACTTTAGTCATCTCTTTAAAA